TTGAATTGAACGAATACTTTATCTGAAGCTAGTTATAGCTGGTTATAAAAAAGATAGATTATATGAGATACTGTATGATTGGCAAAAATAATCAAATTTGCTATCGAGTGGTTCAGAAGCGCAAAGATTTATCTTGAGCAAGGACTTGCGAAGTCTGAATCCCTTTCCGACCAGAGTATCATAAACCCATATCCAGATGATTTGATGAAATATGCATCGATTACTGCTCATATGCTAATGTTTCCTGAATTCCAGCAAAACGATTCTGATTCACAAGTCCTTGCTTAAGATAAATCAGCAAAAATTTACAAATTTGCGAAGTGAACTAATGTTTTCCCATAAAAAGAGAAATTTGAAGAAAACAATTTCAATCTTTTTAGTAAAATAAAAATTATAAAAAGTTTTTATGAATTCATTAATTGCTAATTTTACGAGTTGATGACCCAAATTTTTTTTTACTGAATCGTCAATCAAGGTCACTTTTTGCAATTTCCTTTTCTGCATTTTTAGTTTACTAAAAAGGTTGAAAAGGGCACATAATGGATATTAATCATTCCTATTTTTTTGAGAAAAAACAGCCTAACTCCTCATCAGTTATAATTAATTAAACAATTCCACAAATAATTTTAAATATTTTTACTAAAAAAATATATTGCAACGAGACAGCGAAAAGACTGAAAAAGTGGTTAGTTGATCAGTTGAAACTGCGGTTTTGCATATTTAATATGTAAAATTCTATTTTAAAAAAATTTACAAAGAGATATAACTATTATCCATACGAAAAAAAATTAATTTAAGAGATCAAAGAGCGATCCAAAAAAATCGTTAATGAAGAATTATTAGAATTATCAAAAGCACAATTTAAAACTGCAAAAAATTTTTTCTCCGTAATGATATTATAAATATCGATTCAGTAATTATAATTAAAATGAGACGTGCGAATGATAGCAGGGACCGCACTTCTATTCTCAAATGAACCATTAGCGAAAGGATTCCACCCTTAGAAATCAGTGAAATGATGCGAACCAAATGTAGCAATTAGATGAAAGTCAGCTAACCCCCACTTAAAAACACTTAATATAATACAATCGCTGAAGCAAAAAAAGATGGTAAGACGAATTTATTGAAACAATAATTGGGTTAGAATGGCTCACTGGGTTGTTGGTGAAATCGGAGTGGAGTTCTACTCACCGCAGGAGTAAATCTGTCTAAAAATCCAGGTGGTGCTGGTAACTTACCTGTACTTCTCTCGCCAGGAGACTCTCTGGAATATTTATATTATACATGTCTTGCAAGTCAGCGGAACGAGTCTAATCAGTAAGGCCTATAAAAACAAAATAAGACAAAGGAGTAATTCGAATTTTATTGAAAAAAACATTAAACACCAAACACTATTTAAAGATTAAATAAAACGATATTATGGGAATAAACGACATTAGAAATAATCATTTATGGTACTTGATGGCCATTTAGGTTTATTATTTGAAGAAAATTCATAGTTGTGAACAGAAACTGGCGAGAATATGAATTAGCAGGTTTATTTTATGCGAATTTCAAAATTCAAATAATTTTTCGCAAATTTTTGCAAAAACATGAAAATTCGCTTAGATTTCGATGCATCTTAGTCTGGGCTTACGTTACTTATTTGTTATAGTGCATATATTATATGAAAAAAAACATTTATTCATAAGATTTATCATTTAAACAATTTCAAAAATTGTAAAAAATGAATGTGAACATTATTTACAATTTCTTTGTAATTTTGCTCATATTCAACAATTGAAATTTTTTAAAAATGATATTAAAATCCATGACAAAAAAATATTCAAAATGTGGAAAAAAGATGGATTTATACCATCAAAATATTTTACAAAATCTTCGCATTCACTGATAAAGTCTTAAATATCTTATCAGCAGAATAGATCATTAAAATCATTGTCACTCCTAATTATGTGCTTGAATATTTCCAGAATTTTCGTAGAATTATATATCCGGATCATGCAATGTTCATTAAGATCACGGCGAATATTATTAAATTTCCTTTACCTTCTTGGATATAATAATTTTCGCTGAAATAATGAAATGAATTTTTAAATTGAATGAAGCATCGCAGTGCAATGAGATATTTTGTGAGCGGATAAAAAATAACTGTAAGGTTCAAAAAATGCACACATGCGAAAGGTCATTTACAAATTACCTTTGTATAAATGACGAGTATCCAAATTACTATTGAAACGACTAATGTTTGAAGTATTATGAATAAAATGGTCAAGAAAGGACGTAATCGGTGGAATTCATTGTCCTCCACCTGAAACTGTGTTTATTTTGTAATTCTATCATATAGCAGAACCAAATTCCACTCATTCTAATTCTAAAAAATTCCATTTTCATATAGGGGACAGCAACTATTAGTTAATATTTCATTTGGATCAAAACTTGCGTTTAACCTGCCATTTCACAGTTCTTAAATATTCAAATCTGGTAAACTGAAATCTCAATTCGAGAATCGAGGCTTGGATTCGACCGATGCATCACGCTTCGTTAGGTGGCAGTGTCGCCTAGCGGAGAAAGCAGAGGAGAATAAAATGGCTCAGAGAGTTGTTATTCAATTCGAAACGCCAAATCTAAGGCTTCCGGCAGGAATAAATCTATCCTGGTGATGATGGCGATTTCTATCGGTGTGATACTGTGAATGAGCTGTAACATAAATGAAGACATACATTTTTGTTTTGTCCATCAGTCTGCCAACGTGGTTCATCATCACTAATAGCATTAATTAATATTTCTTTGTTTGCTGTTAAAAGGCGAGCTATAATAAAAAACAAATTCATTAAGTGAATAAAGGCCATTTAGACAAATAAAGATTAGATTGATGCTTCATTAACGATTTTAGATTAATTGAAATAAATAAGTAAATTGATGATGCTGAATAAAAGGCCGATAAAATAAAAGCAAGCACTATAAAATTCATATTAAATGTATAATTTTGAGGAAACCCCAATAAACAATAAATTATCGACATATCAAAGGAAGCTAACTGTGCCCTTATGGTGCAACAATTAAATAACGATTATAAATTTATAATGGTAAAATAATCACATTTATAACTCAGTATTTCTCTTCTTTAGCGAATATTATTATAAAATCCTTTATAATAATAGCCTGTGGAGCTAGCCCAAGCGGAAATAAATATCCTAATTTCCAATAAGCCCTGAATTTAAAGCGAAAAGCATTCAACTTTGATTTGGCCACAAAAAAGTCAGTAGATATAAAATAAATTCTTTTTAAATGATTATAAAGGAAGGATGAAAAAATTGCCTGCAAAACCCAACGGTTGAATATACTCGAAGGATGGAGTGATGATCATTTTTCTGATTGATCTCACGATATACAAATCCTCAGTTAAATCCATATAACGCGAGTCGGTGGTTAATAATATTGACCTTCTATTACGACCTTCTCTTAATCGACTATAAAAAAATTTTTTGGGATAATTTAACGAAATCATATTGCAATTTTTGATATATTAAATATTAAAGTTTTTCCGGACTTTCCAGCGGGATTTTGATGAATCTTATCTTAAATAAATAAATAAATAAAACTTCAAGACTCAGACCACATTACATACTACAGAACGAGCGTCAATCGTTGGCTAGATAAACTCAAAAACTATACGTAAAATCTCTTCGTACTACTATTATCTAGTGAATTTCTTCCTTGTACCTTTGCACTGCAAACGCTCGATTTTTGCGCTAAACAATTCGCAATATCCTTACCAAAAAATCGAACCAAAATTGATGATTAGAAAACAATTTTATTTTATTCATTCAGTTTCCACCAACCTTTCATCATATTGCAAATCCTCATGACAATCGGGGTTGCAATCAAAGCGGCAAGGTTTAATAAATGCTTGATAAGCCACTTCAGTCTGAAATCGAATTTTTAAATATCAGGCAAAAACAAAATAAAAATTCACGGCAGTTTAAATATTTTATTTGGATTTTTTGGTTTATAAAAATAGGAATTACCTCATCATCAAATCCAAAAAATGTTATCTTTAATTGCATTTGATTCTTACTGATTTTTTTCATTCCCAAAACGGCGCTCTCATTCGTTATACATCTGAAGTGAATCATTTCGCTTTGACAGCATTTCTTAGGAAATTATTTCTTAATTATTTCTAATTCTAAATCTAAAGTAGATTTTTATTATAATTAATAAAATATGACAATTAAAAAATTTATATAAGATTGAATAAAAAGAAAAATCAAATTTGAAATCTCACCCATTTGAATCGATTAAATAAATTTGTTTTCCTGAATTCACATCCATCGCAGTAACTTCAGTAACAATAAAACCGTCATTTCGATACTCCGATTCCTAAAACTATTAAAGTTTTTTTTTAATGATAATTATACAGATGGAAAAAGGATTATTATTCCTATTAAAATAACAAATGCCTATAAATTTTTAAGGAGTCGTCGAAGTGTGTGAACCTAAAAAAAATCCAAAAATCTAAAACATTGTATACTCTGTGTGAAGTAATATAGAGATATCCAGAGTCATTCGCACCAATTCGTTCCATTGGTTCACGATCAGAATTTAGTACCTCGAGTGTATACTTCGGTTTAGGCACAAAATAATGCGGTGCGGAAGTCATACGCCTTGTCTCTAGTCTGCAAAAAAGAAAATTGAAAATGAAATACTTTTAATTCTTTGATTAATTTATTTTGTTACAAAAGAAATTATATATTATTATTTTGAATATTTGTGAAAAAGGAAAATGGGGTGTTTAAATCCTTAGACTTACAAATTTTGCCTTGTTGTGTTTTCATTCTCAATTTCGATGTGAAATATTAATTTTTGTTCATTGAAAAATTCCATTTCTTCATGAAGACGGCAATTAATCTAAAAATTTAATTTTCAGATTTGGTTTTTTAAAAAAATAACATAAAATAAATTATGTTCGTAAATGCATTAGTCCACTTAAAAAATCTGCTCTATATTGGTAAATGTATGATTGACTTATAAAGGTGATTTGCCTGGATAATCTTGTCTCGAAATGTTATAAGATCAGTGCTTCCTTCTTTTAGCATAACAACAGCAGTATAAACTGTTTGTGGTTCTGTCTAAAATGAAATGAAAACGATTAAGAAAGTTTGAAAGTTTAACTTGAAATTCGTTGCCTGAAATTGCGAAAAAAGCAAATAATGGTTTTCAACTTTAATTTTCTGAAAATTTTAAAAAGAACAACCAACTATTCTTTGTATTCCACACTCGTCATATTTAATATCCACCTGAAATTCATAAACATCCTTAAAAAATCGTTCACAATGTTTTTCTTTTGCTTTTTTAATTTTAAATGTCCCGTTGAATAATTTCAATGACCATCCAGACAATTGAAAACCATCTGCTTTACAAGACAACTGCACTAAAATTTTTATTATAAAGAATTTTGCAGCCAAATTTAGCAATTTATACATATAATCTTATATAAATTTATATAATCTTTATATATTAGAAATGGAATAGTAAGGCAGTTACTAATAAGAGGTTATGATAAAAGGCCAGGGAAAAGTCTGTGCAGGATAACAATAAGAAAATATAATTGGATTGGGGAAAATGTCGCAAACGGGTTCACTTTGCAGCAAATGCCACCAATAAGAATTTTCTTTTGGAGTGCGAGTGCTGCAGTTCTATTTTTTAAAAGAGTACGTTTTCTAAATTTTTGAATGCAACTGGTAGAAATGAAAAATCGATTTCAGTTGTGGGCCCCTTGCCAATCAACTATCCAATGAAAATACATAAATTTTATTTATTTAATTCAATTTAATTTTGTTTCTTTAATTTAATGTTGGCCTATTTTTGATCATTTATAATATTAATATAATACATTAACATAATTTGTAATTAAAATGAGAAAGTGAATTCAGAGAATTTTAATGAAAACAAAGGGCTAATCTCAACTAACGTTCCATGCAGTCGTCGAGTTCACCAAATGATAAATTATCATCAATAGTGATAAAATTGCGCCCCAAACTTCGACTTGTTGCATGACTAAGGAAGCATTCTTTTAAATTTTTATCATAAATATACGATTGACAAATTCCATGCTTCCAGTTCAAACATTCTTTCTCGCATTTTATCTCATCTGATAAACCAGATAATTTTTCATCAAAAACATCCGTCAAACCAGATGAATGCATTCTTACGAAACGACATTGCAGCGAACGTTCTTTGTCTAAAAAAGACAGTTAGGTTCTATTTTTCTTTTTAAATTTATTAAGATTCTTTTAAACCTAGCTGATTTATTTTTGCCCTTATTTTTGACCATTCAACAAATTTATAATTTCGTTTTTGTTTATTGCCGCTTTCCATATGAACTGAATTCACTTAAAATATTGTGCGATGCGACTTGTGCTGCTATTTAATAATCACATTCCCTTAAACCTAAGCCATATTCAGTCATCTCACAGTCACCCGTACAACGTCAATGGAACTATATTTTTTCACCTTCTACTTAAATTTACTTTGTTGACTACAAGATATAAGGCGCGTTTCCAAGATGCTCGATTCGATGCCATTTCTAAGAATAAGCGTAAGAATAAGAGCAAGAGAGGCCACTCCTTTCCCCATCGCCCATACATTGTGGGCCATCTGTAATCAATCTGTAATCTGTAATCTCTCCTCACTGCACTAATCTAAGCTTTGATTGGTCCTCAGCTTTTAACGCCATCCATCACAAGATTTAACAAGTAGCGAGGTACGCGTAAATTGCTGCTATGAGCAGCGAATAATATAATCAGCTTAAGTGATGCTCTGTGTCAGTAATGTTGAATACAAATGTTGAATAGTACTTGAAAATGGATGGAAAATTATGCGAGACTTTTTCCTCTCGATAAGCTCGTAAAATGTACCTTAGACATGTACCTTAGAATGATCAATGGCAGATTATTTCTTAATATCTTCCACTCTAATTGGCCAAGTTTCACAAAGGTTTCTTCAAACGAACGAATGCACTGCGGCTATCTGGACATTGTTGAAGGACAATATTGTTTAAACAATATTTGAACAATATTAAAGTTGCATAAACTAATTTGTTCTCTTCCCTTCTTATTTCTCCAGTTATTAATCTAATAATCTTTCGATAGAATTAATCATTCTCGCATTTCCTATTATGGATCACTTTAGTCTATTATTTCTACAGCCTATTCGGATAAATTAAAAAACTATTAAAAACTAAAAGAATTTGCCATATCCGCTTGTGTTTTTCTAGTAAATTATAATCAATGAAGCAACCATTTTCACCGCTTTTAAAGCAGTTGTTTTCATATAAATCGAAATTTTTGTCATGTTTGAAATATTTGCGAGGATTATTTACATCGTTAATAGAAACCATTGATAAGATACAAGTGGATTTCTGATTGTTAAATAAAGCTGCTTTACAGTTCACTCTGGAATTTTGAGTCGTGAAAATATTTATGTCTTATTAAATTTTAAATTTATTATATTTCTTAATATATTAATATTACTTAATGGCACTATTCCCAAGTGATCCTCCGACAAAAGGGTCTCAAAGGCCATGAGTAAGCAATGAACGAGGTTAATCAGAAATAGCCAGAAACAACCAGAATGGTTGTCTACTTCAGAGTACCAATATTGAAATTCTACTTCTATGGCAAAAATTTCCTCTACAAGCCAAGAACTGAAAACTGAAAATATTCTTACATTCATGCATTTCAGGCGAACTTTGCTATTCTCTATTAGAACTAATAATTAGCCATCTCCAACTATTTATTTCGAACGTAAATTTAAACTTCCACAAAATTTTTCATTCTTATTTCTTTCAGTTATAAATTTCTGCAGTTTTCTGCTATTATCACTAATTTAGCGTGAATTCTTGGTGTTCATCCCTCGTCGCCGGGAATTTTACAAAGTAGAAGGTTTTGAATAATCAGAATTTCAGAAAATAACGAAACCTTTGCAAACATTGAGTAAGACAGTCATCCAGTTCTCGATTAAGCGGTAAATCGATACGAAGATGCTCATTTATGCTGTTATATTGAGAATATCGTTGGAAACACCATTCCTTTGTTTCCAGTTCTTTTAGAACATCTTAAAAGCGAAAATTTAAGAAAAAATTCCAATTTTTAATCGTTAAAAATGTTTTCTGAAAAAATGTGAATTGACAAATCGACAATCTTCAAATAGGGCAAGAAGATGAGGGCAAAATGAAAAATTTTCACCCATATCCACTTAATATCCACTCAAATCACCATTGTATAACATAAACATAGGCCTTCGTTCCACGTCCCCCACCCCACTGAAAGTAGATTACTCCATCTCAAACTCGCTCGCTCATTATCTTAGTTCTCGCCTTACATCTCCTGAAAGTCAATACGGTCTCCGCGCATTCAAACTTTACCTTGTTTTATGCAAAGTGAGTCTGCGCTATAGATAATATTTTCGGAGAAAGGTAATTCTGGACTCGTGACATTTGAATTATTATTAATAAGAAGACATATTGGTTCATTTGCGATGTCTAATAAGAAATTCACGGCTGAACATACTGTTTTCTAAATATCAATTATATCAATTTGAAATGATTATTTTAAAAAGTAAAAATTAAAAATTTCCGGTTTTTTTAAAAATTTGACCGAAAACTTAGAGCCAAAAAGCTGTTTGCAGCTATTTTTGCTTACTTCGAATGAGGAAATTTTTTTTACGAAAAAAAAGATAAAATAGAAAAAAAGAAAAATTCTAGACTCAGGAAATTCTGGAAATAATTTATCAAATAGCTTTTGAAAAATCACAAAAACACAAACCGATTTGCATTCATCAATACATTCGCTTAACGATAATACAGAAATTTTATCCAAAATTTCACCTTCCACCAATTTTTTTCGCTCAATTATGAATATCTTTTCTGAACAATCTGAAATAATTCAAATAATTTTAAGATGATTTTGAGAAGCTACAAATAAGGATAGCATAGGATAGGATAAGGATAGGACTACGTTACTTCAATTAATGTTGTCAAGCTGTCATTATAGGTTCAAATGTAAATCTGTGATTAAAAGTGGAATCAGGCTGTTGCTGGGATCTATTTGCAGTTCTGCACCCTAATAATCAAAGCAGACAACTGCAGTTGCCACTTGCAAAGAAAGAGTAATTTTCATTCAACAAAAAATAAAATTAAAATTTAAGGAAATTTTATGAAACATATACCGTACGAATTGCTTTGGATTGCTTTCCAAGAAATAATAAAACAATAAATATAAACATATATCATTCGAAATTTCAATAGAAAAAATTTTCCTGGAATTTTAATTTGATTTTGATTTGATTTTTTTCTTTTCGATCCAGCAAAACGAATGAGTCGATAGTGCCTAAATTAAACTGACTTCCAGCAGACTAAGTTGCTTGACCATGAGAATAATCTACGATTATCATCAAGATGACGACCAATTTTACGAATTCAGCAAAATATCAAAAAGATTATACCAGGACGCACGCACTAAGAATAAAAGAAAAGGGTATTAGGTATTAATCTTAAGATGGGGTATTTTCAATGAATAATCATTACGAAGTCGGTCAAACGACCAAAATTAGGTCAGTATTATTGAACATTTCAATGATAATGGCTGACCACAACGATGCTTTTGAATGACGCCCCTTCAAATTGCTTTTTCATATTTTGAATAAATAAAACAAACATATATGTGTTATCTCTTGGTGAACTTTTAATGGTATATTACCCACCTATAAAGTGCCAAGCAATTTTTCATGAAAGCAATTTTCCATGAAAGTTTTTGAAGTTTTTATGACGTAAGGCAAATACCAAAAGTACCAATACCAATTATTTATTTAGATAAGAGAAGGGAAGTTGCGATAAAATAACCATTTTAAAAATGTTTGATGCATTTTGACAATTTTCTCGAAATTTTATTAAAAAATTAGCTTTATTGCCATTTGCAATTTTTAGTTCATTTTAATTCATTTTTTATGATTTGATGTTCAATATTCAAAACTCTCATATTTCAAAACGAATTGCATATTTATTTTCTGAAATAAATTTGGTTGAGATTTTAACATCATGAAAGACAACAAAAGTGAAATTTTAAGTGTTGTCCCAAGGGCTTAAACCAAAAGCATGAACACAAAGTTAGCAGCAAATACATTGTCGAGGAAAGAAGCAGGCAATACTTAGAGCAATCGCTAATATTAGCTAATTTTATATTTGATTATTCATGATAATAAAATTTTATCATTTCAAACAACACTATGATCCTATTTAGGACATGTCAAGAATCTACCTGTAATACAGCGACAGCCGATGGAGTTCGTCTAAATTGTGACCATCAAATGGATTAAAACAAAGATTTAAAATTTATATTCTTGATGTACTCATTTCTCGTTCATTATGAAAAATAAGAACCATTAAAGCAGATTAATTGCCCACTCCTTTCCTGAATTTTGAGGCCAGCTGTTCAGTAAATAAATGGATCCGTTTTCGATATGCCACACCTCCCTCAATTAGTTCATTTAGACATTAGTTTCAAATATATATATAGTTTTATATATTTATCCGTCATTTATCAAAAGTAATTACGATAAAAGAAAATAACGATGGTTTAGCCCACAAATTCATCTAAAAAATTGATGTCCTGACATTAAAATCAGCTTGGAATTAGGCCAAGGCCATCTTTATAATAAATTCCCACAATAACAGTTCCAATTCTCGCTTTTTTCACAGAATTTCAACAGAATTTTATTTCATTTTTTCCGATTATTTTTAAGTAAATTAAAATGCATCAAAGAAAATTTAAAAATTTTAATTGATTATACAAAAAACTATTAATAAACTATAAAAATGAAATAAACATGGTCTAAAACGAAAAAAATCTAGATATAAAAATAAATATTAACATGAAGTCATCGAAAACCGATCTATCAGATTTAAAAATTTTTAAAATTTTAATAGACAATAGCTATAATTTTTAATTCATAACCGAAGTAGCTTCAAATAAACTGAGTAACTGACCATATAAAAATTAAAAAAAAGCACGATAATCCTTTGTAAATAATGCTTTAGTTCTTTACAAAAATAATAATAATAAAGCAATCATCATCACATCAGTGGCAACACAAAAAACCCGACAGGCGAAAAAAAGTGAAACGGATTCAGATTTTAAAACGGAAAAATAAATTATGAATAAAATAAAAAAGCAAAGAGATGTGCTTAAAGTATATTTTTCGAAAAAAGTATATATATATATATATATACATATATTGTTATGAAAAATGTAAGACGGCCATCAACCATCTTCTTCACACCTTTATGATGTGACCACATTTCTTAAAAACAAATATATATATATTATAATAATATTTATATAATAAATGTAGTGATCAAATAAAAAATTAATAATTTAAATTATTTTCAAAACATGACGAAAGAAATGGTGAAAAATGATTATAAAAAAAAAGTAAAAAACTATAAAAATAGAGGAAAAATAAATAAGAAAAATTGCAAAAAAAATTATAACATTGTAAATATTGACTTAGATACATCTATTTAATATAACAACCGAAGAAATATTCAAAAAATTAAAATATAATTTAAAGTGCGATACTTTTTCCACTTTTTGCTTCTATTATATCTTCCATGAGGCCAATTTTTGAACTAATACGTTCTTCTCGATCCACATCACGATAATTTGATTCCATCTTTCGATCATCAATCATCATCTCATTCATTTTCCAACGTTTTTTATTGTATCGAGGATTTATTAACCTTTAAATTCGAAAATGAAAGAATGATTGTCTTTTTATACTTGTTTCATTGTTCCAAATAAATACTTCCTTTATTTGAATATACCAACCATGAACCAAAATTTTCCGCTAATTGAATATAACGTTTAATTCATTAAAAAAAGCTCCAGATATTTTGAAAATTTGACTTAATCATTTGTCACTTAATATGAATGAAGAAAATAAACTTCCTTCGACTAGAGCTTTAAACTCCCGAACTTTAGAGTTTAGAATTTAGGGTTACTTTAGAGTTTTCTCAAAATCTTCTCGCTGAAATTCATCGACTTCTGTATCGTCAATAAAATCGTCCATCTCACTGTCATATTCACCTTCTTCCTCTTCGCTATTCTGGCTGAATCTTCTATAATGCAGCGAATTAAACAATTTAAAAAAAAAGAGGAATTACAAGGACTTCATCAATTTCATCATTTTCTTTGTTATTTCCTCAAATATTTCTTTTATTTTAAAGAAAATATACCTGTTAATATACTTATTATTAACAAAACGATTTTCTGTTTTTGGAGGCAAATTATAGTTGATGCCTTGTTTAATCGAATCCCTTTTTAAATCGCAATTTTGAACCTTCGATGGGCCCAAATGAGCAGATACAATTTTCTGATACCTAAAATAATAATCACAGATTCGCACCATTAGATTTCTTTTAATAACTAGTTATTATCTATCGACGATAATGAAAAAAAAAAACTGAATTAAACAAAAACAAATTTAACTGATATTTGATTTCGCCAGGTAAGTACCGTTTACCACTGCTTGATTTCGTACCAACAAAGCCTTTCTCTTTCTGTAAATTTCTGATATCACCAGGAAGATTTCGTCTAATTTTTTTTAATTCTGATTTCTCATTAAGATTGGTCTCCTGATTGGGTTGATACCTGATATCACCTGGCAAATATCGCCTGATATTTGTTTGGTCATTAGTGTTCACATTCTGTGAATTCGATTGATATCTAGTATCACCGGGTAAATATCCTTCATTATTTTTTTGACTAATAGCATTATTCGAGTTAGATTGATGTCTAATATCACCCGGTAAATATTTCTTGCCGGAAATTTTATCAATAAGATTTGGCGTTTGATATTGAGAATAAGATAGATATCTAGCGTCCTTTGATGAATACTGTTTACTGGAATTTGCCACACTGGAAGTAGTGCTTTGCTTTTGCGGTACAAGTTGATCATCTTTTAACGCCTTCACTTTGCTATTTACATTAATTTTAAAGTCATGACAATTAAAATTTTTCTGTCCCATTGCATATTTGCTTTCATTCGATCTATTTGGTTTGTCTTTTATGTGATTGTTTCCTTCAGTATTTGACAAATGGTCGTTTCTGAAATCAAAATATTGCATTCAAAAGCCGCAGAGACATACAAGTGTCGGTGTCATCAAAGAGAAAAAAATGGCGAAAAGCGTCCCATAAACAATAAATCGATGCAACTTCTATATAAAAAAAATAAATAGCATGGTGGATAAAAATGGACTCTACTACGATTGACTATTAGGAGTGAAATAAAGAGCAGGAAGAACAAAAACAGAACAAAGAGAGAAATGACAAATAAGAATAAGAAAACGAAGAAGAAAATAAAAAAGAGATCTTGCATTAATGTGAATTATAGTATTAAGAAATACCGACAGATAGAATATATAAATACGGACCTTTTAGGTAACGGCATCAGAGAACTACTCGAGGAGTTCTCTATTTTCTGAATTGAAGATACATTATGTCCACGAATTTTTGGAAAATTATTGGATGAATCCGTATAACGAGCCTTTTTCATAGGCGATGAGGAATTGTCGCAAACATCAGGTATATGTCCAGCATTTTTATTTCTTTCTGCCTTAAAAAATGGCAAAATTTTTAGCAAAACGGAAAAAAACTCATACTCTTATACCATTAAATACCATTATATTAAACAATATCATTAAATTCAAGCCTCTTGAATATGAAAAAAGTACATTACGGGAAATTTCAAAAGATTATTTAAAAAATATATGAAAATAAATGTAACACCTGCTTCATTAGCGTATTAAAATCCATGGAAGGTACTGGCTGTTTATTTCGTGATTTTATTACTGGAACATTTTTTTTATTAAATGAAACTTTTTTCATAGCTGATCGATCAGGGGAATCCTCTTTCCTGAAAAAAGTACTTCATTAACTGTGATTATTAGTGAGGAAAATACAGTTAAGAAAATATATACATAAATTATTTTCATGCATAAAAAACAGAAACATTAAGCATACGTAGAAACGCTATGGAATATGTGATACTTTAATACTGAAATATAAAAAAAAATAATTTGGGAAAACTACGTGAAGTGTCGAAAACTGTTTTCCTTTTTAATGCCCATTCGATGAGGTATGGCAATTTTTCGATTATCTGACAATACTTTATCCACTTTTTCTTTACGTTCTATTGCTTTCATAATACCCCCACGCAGTTCCGAACAAAGACGATCTGCTTCCTCCTTAACTCCTTCTTGTAAAACATAATCCTATTCAATTGAAAAATAAATTAATGATATTGGAAAATCTAAATGATCAGTTGCAGTGAATTATAAAACTGATAACCAATAATATGCCAACTGATAACCAATAATTTGCCAATAATATAAAATGAAGAAAAATAAGACAGAGTTGAAAATAAAGCAGTCTGGAATGGAAATCTGGGAATTATTTAATAATATTTTATAAGAATCTGTAAAAATTTTTTGATCACCTAGATCATTACGACCATTATTAGAGATTTATGGGGGAAAATTCGAAGCAATATTGGAATAAAACTGATAAGACCTCTTCTCGACATTGAAGACGTCGTAAATATTCTGCATGATCTCGATCACTTCCAAATTTTTCTTGTAATGCCAAAGCTGTCGTTCCGAATTGCTTCGCTAATTTTTTATTGGCCTGAAAAAAATGAAGACTGTAAAATAAAAATATTGTAATTGAAAGTAAACAATAAATCCAAATTTATGCCACAAATATACAAATATACAAATATTTCTCTTACTTTTAATTCTTTTTTTACGAACAAAAAATGAAATACAAAAAAGAAAATGTAATAAAACTTTTCCGCCGAAACTTTGTAATCGCATTCGTATCAATTCCTCTTTTTGCTTAATTTTTTGTTGTTCTGCTATCCGCTTTTCGTTTTCCTTTTTCTTTATGAATGATGCAATATTTTTAGCATTTACTATTTTTTCACAATTGTTCCTTCGAGAATTTTTTGACAATTTTAGCTAAAAACTGCTTACTAGGAAATTGTTTAGAAAATAAATTTTTTTATTTTTTTATTCCAATTTCTACCTGTTTTAATTGGGAATTAAATGAATAATTAATTGCTGGAAAATAGTATTAAAATTTCAATCTTGACAATCGCAAACTTATAAAAATGAAAACAAATGAATAAACAAATTTTAAAATCATGATTAAAATTTTCTAACAATGGCTTGCTCGTAGTTTGATTTCTTATTTGGTCTCATTTTTCCATGATCAGTTTTATTCACCGCTGGACTATTTTTTTTTTTTTCATCTTCCTCTTTATCAATCCTTCTAATATCTTCCGCAGCGGCTACTGTGTTAGCACTTGCTTGTTTGAGGATTTCATTAAAAAGATCCATTTTGTAACCTGAAAATTTTTTTTTTTCCTTAGCGATTCCTTAGCGAAATCATGAATGAAAAAATTTGACACAAATTTTAAGCAATAATTTACATGAAGTGAATAATAATATCGCAAAAAGAGAAAATTTCGAAAATTCTAAGAAATTTGAAAAATAATTTGAAAATTTGAAAAATAAACGTGATAAAAAACGCTACTTTTTGAAGAGAAATGATAAATTATGTTAGACATCAAAAACTTATTAAAAAAAAGTTATTAAAAAAGTTTTAATAAAAGTTAATAACCATCGATTTGCTTTTATTTCTTTCATTAATACTAAAGATAAAACAGGAAAATTTAATTTCGAAGTCGTTTTATGTAATGGAATGTGTCTGCAGGAAGAAATGTCTGCCTTTTTTTCCTCCACATCTCACTAAAAATTATCGAATTTTCTAAAATTATTCAAAACATTTATTTTAATATTTTTCAAAAATAGAGATGAAAAATTTCATTATTATTCTATTTTTTAGTTCATTAACCAGTTTTTTATAAAGCGCGTTTGCAAAAAATTAAAATTCTGCAACTAAAAATTCTTAGATTTTATGGACAAAACATTTAAATAAAATAAATTTTAGAGAATCCTAAAAATGAACTTTTAAAATTAAAAACTTGTTGCTAACTAAATTTCATCCACAATTTTCTCTTTTTCTTCAAGTCCTATCGAGTGAATCCAAATTAAATCGTTCACATCTTTTATTTTAATCAGTCAGTCGACAAAATTTTAAGCCACCATTATAATTTTAAAAATAACTTTAAGTTCAACATCACCGTATTTTTGAACTGTAAAGAATTTTTTATTTTTTCCTGCGTATCAATAATAGAAATGGAAAATTTAAAAATAATAGAACTGTCTTTTTGGAAGGTTGGCAAGGTGAACTGGAAAATAATATAATATGTATTATTAACAACGCTCACAAAAGGCGATAATAAGCTGATCGAAATGACGTAATTCCACGGCTACAGCTATAATCAGTGCTTAGACGCATTTGATTTGACTGGTTAAATTGATAATCAATTTGTTAATTGGATAGAGGCCGACTCCTGCACTTTAAGTCGACACTTGGCAAAGACTAGCGTTGCATAAAGCAAAATACTGATAAGGCTGCAGCTCGAGCCCTACGCTGCTCGAGCCTTATGCCACAGCCACGAAAAGAGGAATATTTCACAGAAAATACTTCACTGCTTCCGATCCACCTTAATTCTTTTTCTCACAAAAAAGGTGAAACGCCGTTTTGCAACGATAAATATTTCCCACATCGCAATTTATCGATCGTTTTACGAAATTGCATAAAAATTTCGGAAATATTCAACTATTTAATTATTTATTGGCGGAAAAATAAAAACGGCATTTTTCACATTAACCGAAATCATTTTTTGTTGTAAAAAAGAAAAAAATAGAGAAATTCCAAAATTTTACGCAAAAAAATAAAATCTAAAACTAAAAAATCCACTGAAAATTAAAAAAATTTAAAAAATAACTTAAAATAAACCAATGAAACCACCAGCTGATCGAATTACGAATGAAATATTAAAAAGAACAGCAAATAATGGAATCGATAAGTGACCAAATGTTCCGCATAGCTGAAAATTAGTAATGCGAAAGGGTGGAACAGAACTGCCAAAGATCAACTGCGAAATATTGCTTCGAATTAAGCATTGCGGACCCGACCTTTGAACCTTGAGAGTGACTATTTTCATCTGCCTTGTGTTTCCGTTCCGAAGTGGTCCTCAGGCCGAAATGCATAAAATAGTGCCTCGTTACCGAGCAAACGAGAAACGATTGGAAGCCTTCCCATGCGTTCGTAAATGGCCGCACATTCCTCCTCTCTCCTAACACCGTGGTTCATCCTCAGCTGTCCACTTTTTACTTAGAAGTGAATTTGTCGTGCCTACTTATACGTCCCAATCTGTTATTTATCCCAGTTACTTTTCTCTCAGAAAACGCCGCGCACGTGCTAGCTTATCAATTTATTCTCGAGCGATTTTCTTCACAAAAAGGTAAGACTTCGTAAGACCTCAAAATCTTTTCTCCAGTCGGACAGGTCGCATTTGTTCTTCTGCTCCCGAAAATAAATTGGGTGGAAGCAGTACTCGCCAACACTCAAGCATATCCTCTTTCTCCGCTTCGAAGAGTGGTTTTAATTTTTTCTGCCTCTTTCTCAATTTTAATTTTTCTTTGTTGTTTCATAATTAGCACACGCATGTGACTATTGTCTTGCGTGATCTTTGAAATGAAGAAACTAAAAAACGAACAAATAGATTTTGATTGAAAGATTCATCCGAGAACTTTGAAATCATTTTTACTCATACTAATACAATAAAATATATCTTCCCTTTTTATTGCAAAAGTACTTTAATAAGAGAGAAGAATAATTCGAAAAATAAGGTTTCGATTTTATTTTTATCTCAAATTTATATACCAATTCTATTTATTTTAACCTTAGGATATAATCGAATGAAATATCAATCCTTTAATATAAAAATCGCTTGCTTGAACGGCAGTTATCAAAGTTTATTTTCATTTCGCGATATCTTTCATGGAATATTTCGAAATAAGAAAAAGGGAAAAACCATTTGTTTCATAATGAGCAGATTAACAATTAATCGACAAATATTTAGTAGATTAAAAATGTCTGGTATGATGAGATTCACATATATGCATATTTGATTTCAATTCGGTCATGCTTCAATTTGGTTTCATCTTTTACAGCCCACTTTTTCTCGTCAATAAATAATCTAGCTTATTTTTATTTTATACAGGAAATATTTAAAATTAATCTTTTTACACATTTTTCTCGTCATCAGAATCATCTTCGATAGTAATGCATTGACGGATAAATTCAGGAACTGTTTGATTATTCGTTTTTAACCACTAAATTATTGTTTTTAAAATAACAGTTGATTTAAAACCAGATATAAAAATTCTTAGCATATTATTATTATTTCTGATTAGGCTAACTCCACTAATAGCTGTCAATAATAGCAGTGAGATTTTGCCATCATTACAATTGATAGAAATGACCTATCAGCACTATCCTTATTTTTTCTTATTTTCAAAATAAGTTTACTCATGTTGGAGATGGTAGTTCTGAAGCCAGAGGCGACAATCCAAACCCAAAATCAATTGACTATTTCATCTAACTTTATATGGAATAATTCAAATTAAAGGAATATTAATAAATTAAAATTGAATAAAGATATGAAAAATTGGTTAACATTTCGTTAAAAATTTACTTCTGCTAGAAGAGAGGCCATAGGGACATCGTCTGGATAACAAAAAAATGATGTTGCACGACCTTCATTTCCTAATCTTCCAGTCCTTCCTACACGATGTACATAAGAAGACCATTCATTTGGTAAATCGTAATTAATTATCTGTAAAACAAAATTTTATAGCATTCTATTAAAAAAATTAAAAATTTAATTTAAAAGTAATATATTTTAATAAAAATGTGGCCGAACTACTTTTAAACTTACATGAGTTACATTTTTTAAATCAATTCCTCTTCCAAGCAAGTCAGTCGACACCAATATATTACACTCATCAGATTCGAATGCTTTAATGGCTTCTCGACGCAAGTAGCTCGTCAGACATCTGAAAAAAATTTCTTTGTTTTAATTTATTTTCAGATAATCATTATTGGTCATTCGCATTAAGATATGATCTTATCTATTTTTTAATCAGAATGAAGATATTTCTGTTCTAATCAAAACATGAATAATGCTGGACTTTGAATATCTTGGATCCACTCTAATCTTAAATGGTCAGGCAAAGGATGAAATTGTAATCCGGATAACGATATTTTCCGTTTGATGAAACCTTTATTGAAATCACCATAAGGACAAAAATCCGCGTCCACATAGCTACGATTCGCTCGATCTTGCTATATGGCTGCGAAATATGGCCAAAGAGAGTGGAAGATATTAAGAATTATCTGCACTCTTTATTAAGATACATTTTACAGATGCGTCGAACAGGTAAAATCGCACATGATTGTATCCATCATCGATCATATGCCATCTGTATTAAATAATGTTATGATAGAGCCTTCGCTGGTTAGGGTAGGTTCTCCGTCGTCCACCATAGGAGTTGATGCATATTTCGTTACTTGTGACGGTTGGAGTCAAAATCAAGGAGGGCCAGTCAAGACCTGGGATTGATACAGTGAGGAAAGATTCTGAAAGTATAGGGGACCAGCGATATTTGGACTTAACAATGGAAAAAGGAATAGTTTCTATTACTACTAGCGATGGCATTGGACCGAGCAGCTTGGAGATATTTTACTCTTATAGCCAGCAGAGCCAGTCTAATAATGGTGAAAGCTGTTAGAAGATGATGATTAATCCTTCTGTGGTAACTATATTATAACACGCTATAATTTTGATTTCATCGGCATCTATAACTTAAACGTTATTTAAATGCCATGTTTTTAAAGAAAAAAAAAAAGAATTTTGATGAATCTTACCCATGAGTAGGATAAGCGAGAAAACCTTTGAGAGAAATATAACACGCTATCACTGTACTTTTCCGTCTTGTATTAACAAAAATAATAGTCTTTGGAGGTGTTCCATTATCGTAGCCTAAAAGTTCGTCAAAAAACATCACTTATGAAGAACCATAAAAAGAATTTATAGAATTTACAAAATTGTATATATAAATCAGCATTCTACTGAATGCAAAAATAAAAATCCACAAATTTTGGAAATTTTGCTAGTAAATAAAAAAATTTATCCAAAATAATTTCTTCTTCTAACAGCTTTCATCATTATCTGGCTCCAAACTGTGCGACACTAATAGAAGCCACATCTTTTTCCATCGTCTAACTGCATATATTGGTGACTTACCTATACGTTCAAAATATTCCCTAATCGTATTTATCTTGATTAGCCTCTCTTCTCACCTCTCTTTTGACGCCAACAAAATATTTATCAACTCTTGTGGTGAAGAACGTGCTCCAGAGAACGACGCTCTGTGATGATGTTAATACAGGTGGTATTTGAACGAAGGTGGATGCGATAATATCCGCTGCGCGAGGACAAACGCATTTGTGGCTACTATTTTCCGGATTGTACTTTCATCTTTTACCTGGCTATTCGTTATTAGAGTAGTAAAGTAGATCCAACGTAATAGGTCAGGAAAGTTTTTGTATAAGTGAACTAGCGATATATGGGCTTAGACGATGGAAAAAGATTTCTATACTGTCAGCGATAGCGTCGAACCGAATAACTTGGAGATTTATTACCGTTGTAAGAGGATCCAGCCCAATTTAAATTTAAGAAAATCTGAGGGAACCGATTTAAATCACCAAACTAACGAATTATCAATTAAATTTACAATTTTAAATCCATTAATGGTGAAGCTATTAGAAGATATTTAAAGTCGAACACTTCCTCAATTGATAATGAATTGATAAAAATACGTGTTTTTTCAGCATCCTATGAGCAAGACGAAAAGGTTTTCGTTTTATTTACATTGATTTTGAGTCCGATTTTTGCTACGCTTTCTGACACGTTATTTACCATTATTTGCATTTCGTCATAACTATCAGCAAAAAGGACTACATTGTCAGCGTATTCAAGTTCTGTGATATGATGCTCTGGATTGATTTGCACACCTCTTGAATGTTGACAAGCGGTGTCCATTATCCAGTCCATTGCATAGTTTTAGGGAAAAGGGAAAATAATAAATTAATACCAAAAGAATCAGTTTGTTTCTTTCTATAATCGTTTTCTAACAAATTGAGCAGCATTTCACGTTTTCTAACTTGAGGAACCTAAATATAAAGTGAATTTTAAAAGTGAAAAATAAAATTTGAAATAAACACAATTATTTCTGCAAAACATGACACATATATGTGATGAATATTAATTAATAGCAAATGAACCAGTAAGACGGTTTGTTTAACGAATTGACTGACAGTATTCAATCTTCCAACAATAATCTCGACAATATTTGAGCCCAAAAACTCATTTTTAAGAAAATCCAAGGAGTGATCCGTTGCACTGAACAATAATTTTTGCACAGATTCATTCTTCAAAATAATCGAAATTAATGCATGAACAACTTCATAAGTTTATAAGAAACGAAATTCTTGGATTAAAATTTTCTATTAATCTATGAATCCAAAAGAAAGCAGAATATGTGACTCAATATGTAATTTACCTTCAAAGAAAATGTTTGTGATTTTTATGAAAAATTACATTTTGAATGTAAGGAAAGAATTTCTCTTTGAGCGCATCGAAGAAACTGGGATCAAGCACTTTGTCAGCTTCATCATAGATTATAAACTGGAGCGAGCGTAAATCGAACTAAAAATATTCTTTTTAGCACGATGAAGATCCATTACAATTACATCGAATACTATTTCGATTCTGTTTTTTAAACGAAAAATGTTGAAAATAAAAAATTTATAAGCATGACATTAGCAAATTCTGACCACTGATTGTTGGATAAAATCACACAGACGCCCAACGGTTGAAATAAAAATATCACAACCTTTTGAAAGCTCATCAATAGATTTTGATCGCCGAATTTCGCCGAACGAAACAATTACAGCACAATTCGTTTCTCGAGAAAATTTCTTTACAGTTTTAATATCAATTTTAAATATAGTTAAATACAACTTTGAACTTCATTTAACAGGCTTAATTTTATTTCTCTAATTTATCTTCAATATTATATTATGTAAATAGAAAATTGTTATATTTTAACACGTGTTTTTGAGGAATTTGAGGAATCTGCATTTGAGGAATTTTATAGAATTTTTATATAAAATTTCAAAAACACAAAATTAGATATTTGATAATTAGATATTTAAAAAAAGATATATCTAAAAAAAATACCATGAACGAATTCCAAAGCACTATTATAAATTTGCTCAGCTAATTCTTTCGTTGGTGAAATGATAATGCAGTAAGGAAAACGATTTCGACTAATCGCTAGAAAAAGTTTAGATCTAAAAATATGGTCTTCGAACTAATAAGGCAGAGTAGGACAATGTTCAAAATATTTCTAAATTCGAAAAAATAACCCTTATTCATTTTCATTCTCAAAATCCAATCAACTATCGGTATTAAATATGCTGCAGTTTTACCTGCACCAGTTTGCGCATGTCCAACGACATTAAAGCCTAAAATAAATCTTTAAATTTTTTATAGATCAATCTCCAACTCTTGTTATGGTTCTCCAATATTCCATTTACGGCAATGTTACTCTCCGCTATTTTTAATTATAATAATTTTATTGCAGTTCACCAATTCAATAACACTGAAAATATTTTGCATCGCTTTATAAATTTTTAAAAAGATACCTGCTTTTATAGCAGAATAGGCTGCTTTCTGCACAGGCAATGGTTTTATATAGCCTTTTTTTGATATATTTTCCATCAAGGCTGGCATTAAATTCATCTCTTCAAATGATCTAAAAAAATTTTGTATAATAATTTCCAAAAATTGCAACTGAAAATAAAAGATATGAATAAAAAAAAAATGAAAAGTAAACAAAATAATGATTATAGTTCTTTATTAATACTTCCAAAGAAACCAGAGAAAATTCAGCGAATTCAAGATAAGATACTAATAAAATTGAAAAAGAAATAAAAAAATTCATCTGACGATCATCGGGCGTCAGTAAAACTAACTGAGGAATATATCTGTTTTCATCAAAGTCGCCAATAAATTGAATTTTTTCTTCAAATAAAACATCAATCAAGCTTCCTTGATTTACCTGCAAATTTTCCGAAAATTTTGGTCTCATTTCGACAGTATAACGACCTTTGAATTCCCCTAAATGTTCTTCTATTATTAATATGCAAAAACCAAGAAAAAAAAGAAAAAGAAATGGAAATTAGATAAATGATTTCATAGATGAATATCGTTTATATTCGATATTCATCTATGAAATCATTAACTTTATCAATTGATCAATCTCCTCCTTTAATTTAAAACCGGTATATATAATAAATTTTTATAAATTCTTCTTTATCTTAATAAAGCAAAATTTTAATTTTATTAGCAAAAATCCAAAAAACCAAATCTTTCGGTTATCAAAGACGATGAAGCTTGTGCGACTTCTCTCATATCAAATGTAAAATCCTAAAAATTAAAATTCAACACATGAGAAAAAACAAAAAATAATGTAAAAATAATCAAAAATAAAAAAATGTGAAAAGACGAAAAACAAGATATTTTGCAAAGAATAAAAAACGAAAATAAACATAGATATATTTAATATATATTTACATTTATAAGTTTTACAAGTTTTAGTGTTAGGATGCCTGAAGAAAATACTGACTATCGTTTTAAATTTCAGCTTTTTCCCTAGAGGAAATAGTCTTCATAATGCAGCAGCATCTTCCTCTCTAATCCTGTTGCACAATATCGAAATCCTCTCAAACGCCTGCACAATCCTTCAAACCTCATGATATCTTTTCTATCCATCGCTTTCCCGCAATCATGAACCTAGCCGTATCATAATTCTTTGCTTCCAAGTTTGAATTGCCCACCCGATTTCAACTATGATTTCAACAGCTATTATAACTCGACTGAATCCGGGAGAATATTTTACATGAAAAATTAACCGTAAATACGACGATCTAATAATAGCAACATTAAACAAGGATCATGTACTATGCTATAAAAAACCGTCAAAAATAAACACCTGCTTTATAGATGCTTGTTTTTCGTATGGCTTGGCCGAATGGACATATCACAAGCGGATAAGTCATCAACGGCACTTAAACTTACTTTGGCCAGGACAGTTACCACAAAGGACATTTTTCTAAAATGATTTGTAACTGAAAGACGTTGAAATAACCACTTAGAATGAAAAAATTAACCTCTTTCCATTCTTCTTCATCGTATAAATCGCATGCTTCAGCCATTGTTCAAATGACCTAATAAAATTTTGCCAATAAAAGAAATAAACTGTAAAAAAGGCTGAAAATTACGAAAAATTTTATATGAACGGATAAAAAATTTATGAATTCATGTTGATCTCGAATTGTACGCCAAAAAATTAATTTAAAGCGTCGGAAGAAAATTTTTCTCTTATTCCCAAATATTTTAAAATCTTTGAGACAACTTTCAATTTTTAAAATTTAAAATAAAATTTTAAATTTAAATTTAAAACTTTAAATTCTTTTAATAGTTTGGATGTTTTCATAGTATAATTTCCTGCATTCTGTCCCCGAAAATCGGCGGCGATTCATGCAGTTTTAAAAAAATGACTTCAAATTTAGACGTCAAACATCAAAATCAATCAACAAAGCACGTCAATATTGGTCGCCTAACCTATGCGTGTCGTCTCCGCTCTCCTCTACTACCGCACACCTTTATTTCCTTACCAGTTAATTACACACCTCACACCGCTGCCCCTTAATCTCCTATCATTAAATCCTCCCCTACCACACTCACACCATTCATCAACGTTTTGATAAGAAATTTATTGTTTCGAAATGAACGGCTGCAAATAAGCAATTTTAAAAGTCAGCTTCTTCACGTGAATTTTATAGAAATTTTTCTTGGAACTTATTGCGTAACATATCGTAATTTAAGAGTGGGGTTTTGAGGAATATGTTTCGGAAGTTAAACGTTTTTCGATGAGTTTGCAAGTAAAAAATCGTTTTTTCAGCAGTTTTTAGCGGAATTTCGGTTTGCAAAAGACAATATTAAAGACGATATTTTCTCAAATAACAATAAGTGAAATTAGAAAATTTTTCGAAAATCTTTATGAGTCGTTTCTTTATGAGTCGCTTTTAGGTTTTCAGCGATGTGTTTCAGCCGGAGGCCCCTCTTAATCGCGTTGCTCTGCGCATTTTCTAATCTGTCGAGCGGGAAAGAATTCGGATTCACCGTTGAAGTGTCGCCCGGCAAATCGGATTGTTACTTTTATCCGGTGGCCGATTCGAAATTTGCGGCCCTCGATTTGCTCTACATAGTGAGTCGTCTTCCTCCTTTCGCTCGACTATCTTCGCCTAGGAGAAACCTCGTCGTTCTCTGAGTTTGCGCGTACTTTCTGGCTTAATTTAATCGCCGCACCTAGTCACTTTAAGCAAATCGATCGCTTAATCGTTCTTCTTTTCAAGAGTTAGTCATTTAATTAATTGTTAAGTAAATATGGTATATGCAAGCAATGTGAATTAATAATCACCTGTCATCATTTTTCATGTAAAATTTAATTAGATTACAATAAATTATAGAAAGAATTCCATTCAGTTTCAAGCTAATTTAATAATAAAATTTTAGGGAATTTGCTTGGACCACAAAACAGTCATTTGTACCCTAACTCATTAAGAAGGTAACTTTCAGGTTACTAAAGGCGGCGATTTGGAAATAAATTTTTTTTTAGTAAGTGGCAGTAATATTATAGCCCATGATGCGAAAACGAAACAGGGCATGCATACGTTAGTTGTTTTTTATAAGTTTTTATGATTTTCGAATTTTAATTTTTGTTCTTGAACCGAAGAAAAAGATTTAATAAAACATTTACTGAGTAATTTGTCCATACGATTATTTAATATTTCGGTCTAAAAAAAAGAACCCAGCAAATACAGTCAATAAAATCATCGAAAAATATTTAACTTGGTAGCCTCACCTGACGTCTTTTTTTATAAAATATTTTTTATGGAAATGATCCAAGATAGAATCATTTTTTTCTATTGTACATTTGAAAATATATAAAGTATCCATAAATCCTCTTATCTTTTTTATTTTCTGTGATTTATTTTTCGTGAAAATTTGCATATTTTATTTCGCTAACCTCCGTTGAGGGTTTCATTGTTACTATCAGTTTATCTTTAATTATGCTTTAAATTCTTCATTTGATAATTTTAAAGCGAATTGGAAAATGGTTTCGATTGTTGTCGTTTCAGAGTGAATGTAACGGCTTCAAATGGTGAAATTCATTTTTGTTTTGATAATTCATTTAGTAATACAGCTAAAGTGATTTCTTTTCAATTTATCTTGGTTGATGAACAAGGTAATGTTGTAACGAGAAATGATACCGATATTAAGAAATTGGCCGAAGAAATTGGTATGAAAATAACCGATTTTTATGTAAGTTTTTCATTTTTTAATATAAATTTTACTTTTGTTAAATTGATTGTTTATGAATTTATAGATATTCAGAAATATTTATTTTCGTAGTTAAATTATATTTGAGAAAATCGCTTTCGAAAGTGGGTAAAGGTATATTTTCATAGATATTCGCTAAATTTGACATTAATTGAGAAAATAAGCCTTCATTATTTTGATTTTTATAAATATATGTGCTTTTATAGGTTTCTTATGCACGTTTGAAGGTAAATTTCGATCATATCGAACAGGAACAAATCATTTTTCGGGCTCTCGAATCACGCGACAAAGCAGTTTTGGTTGCAAGTTTGGAACAAGTGAATTTTTGGTCCTTCTGCAATTCAATTGTCTTAATTTCTGTTGCTCTTATTCAGGTTCGACTAAAAAAATTATGTTTGTTTAAATTTAATTTTCGTTAACTGATATTTTTAAGAAACTTGGTAGTCGAATGTGAGGATTTAAACTTTATTTGATCGATATTAAACGGTTATATATTAGTAGTACTAGCAAAAATTTGTAAAATGAAATTCAGTGTCGGTATTTTTTAATTTCAATTGGAAAATAAGCAATTTTCGATTTGTTAGAATATCATTCATTTGTTTATAATATTATTATATTTGATTTGATGCAGTTGATTTCTTTAAGGTATTCTTGATTCGAAGCTTATTTGAGGATAGATCAAAAGTTGGAAAGTTCTTGAGACATTCAAAGGATTAATTTCTCAAAGATGGAATAGAATATGTCACGTAATTTGCAATCTGAATTTTACACATTATACTATGAATTTTTTTTATTTTAATAAGGTTTTGTATGTAATGTAAATTGTGATTTTAATATTCGCATAATTTTTTTGTCTAGGGTACCTTTTAGGGTCATTTCATTTTTTATTTCTCAGATTATTAGAGGAGATTGTGAAGTTGTCGCTTCTTCCTTAACTTGGCTAATGGTGAATGGCTGAATGGTGAAAGCCTTGATTATCATTCTAAATATAGGTGATTTTTCGAAGTTTTTTTGCTATTCCATTTTTATTTTCTCTTTTTTAAAATGTTGTTCTATGGTATACTGATACGCTTTACTTACAGCTTTTTGAATTCTGCATTCATTTAAATTGTTTATATTGTCTTATTTCTTGAAAAGATGTATTATTTTCATGCATTAAGGGATTATTCTCTTTTATTTATAATTTTTTATAGTTTGTGAAATTATGTGATTTTTTGTTTAAGGTTGTGTGATTTATCGAAGGCATTCCCGCTCACTTTCAGTTGCTGAAATGATTTTTTTTTTCTTTGTGTTCCAATAATTGTTTATTATTCAGATAAACAGTGGTTTGGGTTGGGTTGGATGTTAATTGAGTTTTTTGTTTCTTATTGTAATTTATCACTTATTATGAACTGGTTTTTTTCTATGGAAATAAGTAAAATTTTGGCTTTTGCTGTTAAAATTTTTTTAAATCAGTATTTTACCTTTTTGTCTGATATCTATATCGGTTATAATGCTGGTTTTTTTAAGCTTTGATGATCAACAGTGAGTGACATTTTATGTAAACGCAAGGAGGGAGATCTTTTAAAAATTTGTTTTAGACGGAATTGCGAAATTCACTTTGTTTACCTGGTGAAGTTTGTAAATAGAGATTTATTTCTTTTATTATAACTCGACATAGGCGATAGTTTACCAGTTTTAGATGCTCAACATGGTTCAGTTGCAGCCAGTTATCCTGGCATTTCTAATATTTTCGGAGTCAGGAAACGCTGATGAAGTATCTTTCACTTTAATTGTACCAGCGGGCAAAATTGAGTGTTTCTATCATTCTGTCACTTATGAACATTATCAGTCGTTTGAATTGGATTATATGGTACTTTGTTTCATTTTTGTCTTTTCTGGTATTTTTCATTCATTTAAAAAGTTCTGATTTTAAAATCTTTCTATTCACATTCATTAATCATCGTCATCCAATTCTTTATGTGTATGTATCGTTTCATTCATATATATTTAAATTTATTCCATAAAATGAAAATACTTGTGAAATTCGTGTTGTTTCAGAAACCAATTCCTATAGTTTTAATTTGCCATTTTATGTTGCATAATATTGTATCATTTCATATTTCAGTTTATCACCTAATTTACAGTATAGTCGTAAATCATATTATCAGTATCAGATATGTTTATAATTTATGTACATAATTTGACCTAATTTAGGTAGTAAAAGGTGGAGAAAATGATATTACATTCTACAGTGAATCCCCTCTTGGTAACCGAATTATTACGGAAGTTAGACGCAATTACGGTTCACATAAGTATAAATTTTTTATATTTGTTTAGGCCTAAAATAGCATTCTTATAAATTGTAATTGATAATCATTGAGTAATTGATCTGGTGTTTAAGGCCAAATTATGATTATATTTTGTATAGTTAAGAAAATATAGACTGCGGTAACTAAGGCCAAATTCCACTGTGTTTATATTGTTTAAGTTAAGGGTGGAACTGAATGATACGAGAAATGGTTACGGAGATTACAAATTTTGTTTCGACAATTCATTTAGCATTCAAACAGCGAAACATATATTTTTTGATTTCTACCTCATGGATTCTTATGGTCAATTCTTGGGTGATTTCAATAAAAAATTTAATGTCGAAGCAGATATTCTGAGGAATCTCGATATGCATATTGATAATTTCCAAGTGAATTCATTTTGACCTTCTAATATTCAATATTTTGGAATATTTTTCTTTGTTTAAGATTTTATTTATTTATTACATTTGTTTTATTATTTTATACTCCTATACAAAATTCTCTTTTTAACTAACTCTTTTATATTTTCTGAATTTTTTTTGGCTGAATTTTCTGTAACTTCGCTGGCTTTTTCCCTTTTTTTGCAGGGTGTTTATTTATTAAAGAAATAAGTATTTTAGACTGTAACAACAAGTGTAAAAAATAATTTAAATGCTATTGAACGGATTCAACGGCATTATTCGAGCTCTGAAATTCTTGATCGTTCGATCCTTGAGAGGAGTTTCGAAATGATTAATTTTTGGAGTTTTATTCATCTTATAACGATGTTATTTGCTGCTTCAGTTCAGGTATAAAAATTCCATTGTGGTTTATTTTCTTCTAAAATTAAATTTTTTTATTTATGGGCTGGCTGCGAACAAAATTTATTACTACATTATTTCTGTAATTATGTTTTCTGTAATTATGTTTTTATGCTATTTGACGAGAAATTTCGGTCAGATTATTGAAATCGAAATTTCTCACAAGATACATTCCAGCTTAGTTTGGCAACTTTTTTTACAACTTGATTTTGAAAATTCGTGGGAAAAAATTCATAACCACTTCGAAGCTTTTCTTTATTTTCCATCTTAATTCATATATTCCACATATCACATTTATATTTAATTCTCTTTCGAAGACTGGCTATCATCAATTTTATCCTTAAACCAAAGAAATTTTTTAAAAGCTATCTTTGACAGGAAGTTGATATTAGCGAATAAAAATGATACAATGGAATAAAAATTGATTGAAATAAATAATTGACCGTATAGTATTTATAAATTTTGTTTGCACCAAATATATTCTATTTTCATTTGGGGTTAGAAACACTTTATTTTACTTTTTAAATTTTTTTCCATAGCTCAAACAACTAATATTTGATTATAGGTCTTCATGTTACGGTCTTTATTCGAAGACAATTCAAGGATTGGTCGTATTTTAAGAAAAGGTAAATTGAGTGACTGAACGATCACATTAACGGATTTTTGAATAAAAAATAAAATTCTGTCAATTCTGTCAATTTAAAATTTTTTTTTGAATGAAAATAGGACCATTTTCCTTCTTATTTGGTTGTAGCTCAACTTCATTGGTTTTATTTGCATTTCATTGGCTTATTGTCTTTCAGAAACTTATTAAATTATTTTTGACCTGTCTTGCTTCATCTTTCTGCTACTATGCTATACTTATGCTTGGCATTTATTTTTTTCCAGTTTTCCATCATTTAATTTCTTGTGCCTATATTTTTATTAATTTTTTGCATGTTTATAATCGTCTTTTAATTTAATGTTGAATTTTTCGATATGTTAGTTATTTATTTATTTATTTATGTAAAGAAGTTTGCTGGTAATCTGGAAGAATTTTTGGTAATTTGGCTGCAACGAATAAATATTTCTATTGGATTGGTTTAGTCGGCATATTACTACTTTGTCTTTTCTAAAAAAAGATTGTTAAAGAAAATATTTGCATCGTTCTTGATTTGTTTAAATTATTTATCGTGGTCATATAGTTTTAATCGTTTGAACTTGAATATTAATTCTTGCATTCAGAAATTTATTTTTCTGGTTGATTTGTAATTTTTTTTTTTCTGAAAATTTCTTATTGCTTAAAGCTGGAAACAAATAATATTTGAAATAAATAATAATATAATAATAAACAAATAATAATATTAATAATAATATTTGAAATGTTTAATATGCACAGTTATTTTGCGGTTGTCTTAACTATGATTTTTTAAAATAATTTCTTTTTTTATATATAATTGATATTTCCTTTTTTTACAGATTATGGATAAAGAAGGTGTTTTATTTTAATTTATGACAATTATAAGAATGAAATTTTCGAGCGACGTCGAGTAGATTTAGTAAATCAATTTGATTTACTATGGCAACAGAGTATACATAACCACTTTATTATTTTGATACTAAAAAAGATTATTTTATACTAATTTATCCAAAGGCCCAGTTTTTATTTATACCAATTTATTCTTTAAAGTCGCTTGAGATCTCTTTGCCGCCCCCAACTGTTTCATACACCACCAATTCGTAAAAAATTATTGCGAATTTCGAGTGATTATCATTATTTAAATTAATGCGAAATATTCTTAAAATATAAAATATTCTAATTTTATTTATTTATTTTGCCAAATTTTTGCGATAATTTTATTCGTTTTCGCATGTAAAAATAACAATATAAAAACTGTATAAAAAATAAAGTACTGAAAAATTTTTTTAAAACATGAAAATTTCTCAACGAATTTTAACTGTACAAATAATTTTGTTTTATATGTTGTCATCACCACTGGATTCGTATATTATTGTTGGACCAATTGGACAAGGGTCATTTGGAACTGTTTTTAAGGCGCAAAATGTTCAGGTACCCCTTATTTTTTTACTGATTTTTTAATATAATAATTGAAATTTTGTTTGTAGACGGGGATTTTGACGGTACAGCAGTTTTATTGGCATTTTCGCTTCTAAATATTGCCACTAAGAAACGTAGTTTCGACCTCTGCGACATGGCTTTAGTATTTAATAAAAAGACGTCGAACTCCGTCCATTGTAATTTTTCATGGAAATTTATCTTTTTAGAGCATAAAAGATATGATAATATGAAGGAAAGCTATGGCTTGTTCTCATCTTTTCTGAATTTTTCAAAAAATTTTAGTCGAATAAAATCGTTGCAATAAAACAAATCCAGCTAAAGAATGATTGCCATCGTCAACTTGAGATTTTTCGTGAAATTTTCTATCTGCAAAGTATATATCATAAAAACGTTTGTTTTATGAATAGTTGAGTTTTTAAACTTGTGAATGGAATTTTTCTATGCTTCTTTATAAGATGTTCAGATGATATTTTGTATCAGCTTGAGCCATATATCATGGATTTGACTCCTGCCCTTAATGGGAGTAAATCAAAATTTGGTGCTGTACTGGAATTATCCAGTACGTTCATCCTCATATAGCTATCTAGCGAAAGATTTTGCGAAAGAAAGATAGATTTTTTAGCAATGAGGCCACTGGGCAAAATGAGAAATGATAGGAGAATAAGCATTAAAGAAATTTGGTCGAAAAATATAAATTTTTTCTCGAATCTTGAAAGAACTAAAATACTTCAACTGCATTACGAATTGTGAAGTTTTTATGATAGCATCCCATCTTTCCCATCTAGGTCGTACTTTTCATCTTTAATGGTTTTGGCTAATGGTTTTTTAAACTGATTTATAGATTGTTAAACTTCTGGATGTTGCCTCATTTCCTGATTCAATTTTTTTAATAATGGAATATATAGAGGCAAATATGAAGGCTATGATAGACGATTTACATCGGCCAGTTAGCGATATTATCGTTAGATATTATGTGCGTCAATTATTTTGTGGTGTTTCATATCTTCATAGTATTAATATAATGCATCGGGTTATTATATTTTTCTATATTATCTGTATTTTATTTCACATACATACAAGCACATACAAGCTCATACATCTAATGCGATTTTTTATTTAGTTTTAAGCGTCTATTTTTTAATTTATAAAAGATTTATCATATAATTTCGTAATATTTGCACATAGCTTCGTAAAATTTGCAGATAATATTCTAATTTTAGAAAAAGGATGTGATTTTTTTAGCCTTGGAACTTCTTCGCTTCTTTATTCGTTTTATACAAAAAATCACACATGGGATAGAATAAAGAATTTCATTATTACTGGTTAGGCTGACTCCAACGGCTACAAGATTAAGACGCTTCCAAGTGGCGCAGTCTGATGCCATCGTCGACAGTAATAGAAGCCATTCCTTTTTCCATCGTCTAAGTCCATATATTGCTGGTCCACCTGTACGTTCAAAATGTTTCCTGACCGTATCAGTCCAGGTCTTGGTTGGCCATCTCGCTTTTGACGCCATCCATAACACGGTTTAACAAGTGAAAAAATATGCATCAATTCCTATGGTGGACGACGAAGAACATGCACTAACCAGCGAAGGCGACGCTCTGTGATAATTTATGCAAGTGGTATTCGAATAAAGATGTATGCAATCTTGTGATATTTTATCCGCTCGACGGACCCGTAAAATGTACCTCAGCCAAGAGTGATCAAAGGTAAATAGCTTCTTAATATCCTCCCCTCTCATGACCATGTCTTAGAGCCATATAGCAAGATCGAACGAATCACAACTATATAGATTCGGACTTTCGTTTTAATGGCAATTTCACGTCGGCTCTGTAAAGGTTTTGTCAGCATAGTTGAATATTGTAGGAGAAAGGGCAAACCTTGACGCACACCAATTTTTATTTCGAAGGGGTCTGGCAGTTCCACATATACACAGATATGCGCCGACGTACACTCATAAAATGCCTTTATGAATCAATTGATCTGCAACATAGCATCACCCTTAGCATACCATCACCATTGAATGAAATGATCATTTATGTATAAACGTTATTTCATCGTGGAAAATAAGCTTTCGAGAATAACATATAAACTGAAACTGAAAATCCTCGGGAAATCATATTGTTTCTCTAATATTTGTGTCAGCTATGAGCAATGTTGTGAAGCTCAGCTGCATGATTATGTAAGATAATCAGCAAATACAATAAATGGACGTCTGTATTATATGCTAGAATATAATCGATTCTTACATTTGCTTATATCTTTTACTTGTTTACTTTCTATATGCTTAAAAAAGAATGGAAAAAAATGCATTGCTAAAAATATTTTCTGGCTTTTTGCTCAACTTTAAATTACCTGCAAATGCTATGAAGCAAATGTTACGAAATGAGCTTCAATGAGCTGTTACGAAGACTACGAATTTCGAAATGAGTTTCAAAGGCAAAGGCAATGTTATGTGGTGATTCTGTAATTGGTAGGTTTTCAGGATATAAAACCAGAAAACATTATGATTTCTAATACCGGAATTCTAAAACTCATTGATTTCGGTCAGTCTTGCTTGTATTGTCCGAATAATGAGCATATAGGTTACGAACATCAGGTATGTCAAATGTAAATTCTTTGTCTGTTTCTTCGTCTGTTTCTTATACCTTGATATTTCGCGATTTAATATTTTTGAATCTTTACTATTGAACGACTCCTTGATCAGCTGTGGGATTTAAGGTTGCATCGAGATGGTATCGAGCACCTGAACTTCTGTTTGGTTCATGTAAATACACACCGAAAGTTGATACATGGGCTTGTGGATGTGTTTTAGCTGAACTTTTGAATGGCTCTCCGTTGTTTCCTGTGAATTTTTTTTCTTTTTCTTGTATTAAATTTTCGAAATATATTTATCTAAATTCGAAAAATTTTTTATAGGGTCGGAGCGATCTTGAACAGATCGGATTGATTATGAATGTGTTAGGAACTCCTTCGATTGACTCGTGGAACGATTTACACACTCTTCCCGATAGTGGGAAAATACATTTTGAAAGCGTTCCTCCTGTGAATTGTTGGTTTAAAGTTGGTATGTTTAATTTGAAAAATTTCGGATTTGAAAAATGGGAATTCTCATTGACGTTGAATCAAATTGGAATCTATTTTTGACAATTTTTTCTACTTTTTTGCTTCGTTATTCGTAACTTTGGTGTATGCATATTGTGTTTCTAAGCTTAAAGTTAATAATTGTAGTGCCTTTTGCATCCACTGAATGTTTGCTTCTGTTACGTCACTTGATCGTGTATTGTCCAGAAGAACGTATGTCAGCAGACGATGCTCTAGCCCATGATTTTTTTACTTCAAAATCACCCGAAAAGCCACCATATATACCATCCAATATTAAGCATTCAGCCACGATTCATGATGTTGACGATATTTTGAATTTTTTTAAAAATACGCCTTGAAAATATTCTGTTTCGATAATTAATTCTGAAGGGCGGTTTTTACTTCACGTATTATTACAAAAATTTATCGAAGTAAAAAAAAACCATTATTTGAAATGAAAATTTTTACCTAGATCGATCATTTTAAAAACATTCATTTGGGTTTTCTTTGGATATTTTTCGCTTAAAAATTATTTTTCCTATCAGAAAGCTATTTTGTAATTCAAAACGAAATAAAATTTTAAGTGATTTTTTTTATCCAAGTGAATGAAGAAAGAAGTATTATTTTCACGACGAGTCCAACATTACAAAGTATTGGCAAATATTTTCAAGTATATATAGGAATATTCCAGTAAAACCCGATTCTTATAAAATTTAAAAAAAAAGGAAAAAAATTGAAGGACTGATATGGCAATAGATATAAACCATGTGATAATGGAAAACGCAGAGTTCTTATCAAAATCCCAGTGGTTGACTTTCCACTGAATTTCGTTGGTTGTCTTCAAATCTTTTTTTACGCATTTGAGCCATTTGAGCATTATTTAAATAATAACGTGATAGTGAGACTGTCGAATCCTTCTTATAACGTGTTTCATTTGGCTATAATTTGTTTTATCAAATGTGATTATATGAGATGTTAATGTTCGTCTGTTTATTGCGATTTTTTTACTACTTATCTTAACTACTCAGAAGTACTCATTATGAAATACAGAGGAGTTTTATTTAAATTTCAACTTGTAGAGAAGTAATTATGACTGAATATAAGTTTCTTTTTTTAAGCATTATACACCTAAAATCCCCTTCCTTTTATCTTCGAATGTGTGCAAAAATTGCTGTAATTTATTCATCTATGTGAATGAAACTTGTATCGTTATTATCACATGTTTTCACATTTAATGAGAATTTATGAAAAACTAACGATTCGAGAAAGAAGAATTGCATTAAGTCGTCGCCGAAAATAAACAGAACTTGAGCAAAACAGGACGAAATTCAAGACTTTTCCAGTAATAACTAGAGAGTTTACGATGCTAACTGTCGCAAGAAATGGTCGTGGATTCGATATGGATATGCCGAGAGTCTCCCATACAAAAGGAATCAATGAGGGAGCCTAAAATAAACTTTAGAAATAGTAATTTGTCTGGTTTCATCGACAGCTAAGACTTCCTAGAAAACGGGAGAGGGGATTGGGATCACCATTTCTGGCTGGGTTCTCTTGACCGGCTAATGCGATTAGAAATTTTAGCTAGAATTAGACAGAAATTCAAGTAGGCATCCAGCACAACCCGGGTTTGTGAAATGATAGTCTTATTCCTGTCAGAGGTGGAATCGAAGCCTTGACGTTGGACGCGATAATTTGAGAGCAAAACTGTTCAGTTATCACGCCTCTTGTTAGTACATTACAGATGGATTCTTAAACAGTTGGGCTCTCCCATGATATTTATTGCTGAGTAGAAATCATATTTTATTTAAATTGCGCACATCGTAGAAAGTAAATTGTAAATTGTTTAGAGAGTGCTGTGGGATGAGGTTAGATGGGTCAGATTGAATTTAATAACTTAATAGTACGTCTGAAAAGAAATATAGCTTTACTCGACTCACATGTGTAATAGTGAAACAAGTAACTATGGCCAAAACTGTGGTAGTTACTCTTCTTTCTTGTCGCTGCACCATCCCTGTATCAGCGAGGCTCCATTTGCTGTAAATATAAAATTAAGAACTGCTGGGATTTTTTTCTTGTTTTTGGCTATTTCTGATATAGCAGTGCATGCGAAAAAGCAACTATGGCATAATTTAAGTATTAAAATATCTTTGTTTTCAAGTCCATTTCCGAATTGAGGGGATTTTTATTACCTTTTAGCAACCATCTACCATAAATATAGCGTAGGGTTTTTATCATTGCTATGATCATATTTAATTATATTAAAAATTCCACAGCTCCATTTATCTTTTTTCCAAATAATGGATTTTTTTTCCTTAAATTAAGTTAGGTTTTCCCTTAAATTAAATTAGATTTAAGCTATTAAAGAAAAAATCATCGAATGAGGAGTGGAATTTAGCATTATCCTGTAATTTCATGGTTGATTGGTTATTATCATTGAGTGAGAATAAATGCCTTGCTTACCTCCATTTATTCGAGTAATTGTGATGATGAATGTCACGATTTTTAACGAAACATATTAAGGATACGTTTAAAAAAGCTACAGCCATAATTGGGACCAGTATAACCGTAAATAATTGCAAGTATTTGCTAAACTTTACATAATTCGTTACGAATTTGCCAAAAAATTTATCACCAGTCCAGTTATATTCAATCTTAAAGAAATTTTTTAAATAATGGAAAAAGAATCTTCCTTTCCTTATTTCCTAAATTTTTTCTTCCTAATAAAATTCCTTATTTCATTCCAAATGTATTTTTTGTGGAAGGTCAATTCATTACATCACAATATCATTATATCACAATAGAACAGAAAATTGCTTGAAGATAATAATATAATTGTGACAAAAAATCTGGCCCCGAATATCTGAAAAGGCCAATTTCACATCATAAAACGTTTCTATAGTAAATTTCCATGATAAATTATACTGGATTATGATGATAATGAAGGGTGTTGGATGTTGAAAAATAAATCTATGATGACTATTATTATAAAATGAACTTACTGGTATCACATTTCCTCTTAATTGTGTGTCATTACATAAGATATGTATACTATATTTGTAAGCAATATGATGATAGAATGTCACAATAAATGCTCCAACGAATATCGAAATTATTAAAATTTTAATTTTTCCATCTCTCCATTGTAAACGAGCTTGCATAGGCGAACGAATGCCAATAAAACGTTCTATCGATACTGCCAATACAAGCCTAAACTTTTATCAGAAGCAATGGTTATTCGAAAACGCAAGAGAGCTATCGCTGATAACAAAGGCAGCTGATTTTCTCCAATATCGAAAAATTTCCGAGAATTTACTAGCATGGCGTTAGATCCATTACTGTAAGCCATATTCGATATAAAAAGCTTATCGAAAGATTGAGTTCTTCATAAACGAATTTTTAGATAAGAATATGAGAACATGTCCAATCAATTCAGCGCTTACCATTTCTGGTTTGGCTGGCTCAACTGACCATTAGGACGAGACCCCTTCGCTAGAATCTCACTTGGAGATAGGAGAGTAGGTGCCGCCTCTAATGATTTCTCAAAATAATTTAAAAGCAAAAAACAACTAGCATTTTAGAATGATATAAAATAAATTTAAATTTTTATATAAATAAATTTATATAAAAATTTATTTATCACTAACCATGCAGCAGCAGCAGAAAATAAATTGGCCATTGCATTGATTTGCCGTTTACTGATGTAATAAATATATCGAAAACTATAGCTACGATAAGCGATCTCAAACGATGCAATTGAATGAGGAAGCATGCAAAACAATAGTGACAAATCAGCAAAAGCCATTGCTGACAACAAATAATTCGTCTAAATTTAAAATTATCAGATAAATATCTTTTATTAATTTATTTAGAAGATTAAAGCTGACTCTGCTGCGTCATGATTAGACTCATGCGATCGCCATATGTTTTTTGCAAATTCTGAATTTTTTGAATTTTCTCTTATGTGTCACAAAGTTGTTTACAAATGACACATTTTCATATGGTGCAATATTAACAGTGAAATTTAAATTTTCCATTTGCTTTCTCAATATTATTATTATTTTTTCATCATTAATTATTCGTTATTATTTCAAAAAATGATTGAAATCAAACAATACAAAATATCTATCAAAAAATAAGCTCAAAAAATAAATGAACTAATAGAATAAGAAAAGTCATCGATATTTTTGTTGCTAAATAATTTTTGTTAATGTTTAAATTTCATTTATTTTAAATTTCATTTCATAAATTTTAAATAACACGTTTAAATTTTCTAAAGAAATCTGTTAATTCTTATAATTCCTAGTATTGCTTTACTGAAAAATTGATTTTGAAAATTTCTCGCGAATATTCTTATATTTTTAGTTTTGAACCAAATCGTTCAACATTGAAATTATTGAAGAGATTTGGACAAATAATTGAATAAGATGAGGACGAAGCAGACCTCAGATCTCATTCCTTTGCTCAATAATACCAAAAGATTCATCGAATTTCCAACCACACCAAGGATAAACTGAATTGGGAAAATATAATGTTGAATTATATTGTCCAAGTGGCTAGTTGTCAACATCATTTGTGTGTCATCGAGACATTCTGATCGCGACATCTTAAATATAGACGACTATCACGACTTACCTAAACGCGATCGCTAGAAATGTTACAATCATTTTAATGATTTAAAAAATTAAGAAAATTATTGGAGTTTCAAATTTTTTCGAATCCACATCCCATCTTCCATTGGATTTTTCCAGAAAAATGCCACAAAAACTCTTTTATTCTAAACTCAAGTTTCTGCTATCCGATTAATATTTTTTCTTAAATTTTAAATAGCGAAGTAGCGAAGCTTAATAGTTCGCCAACTATGAATTTAATTTCCTTCGTCATATATTAGAAGAAAGAATTTTACAACGAATTGTGATGAATCCAGTTGAATATTTCAGCAAAAAAAGATTTTTTTTTAATATTAAGAAAATTCGCCGCTAAATAATTTAATTAATATTTAATTGTTTCTATAACTAACGTAAGATTAAGATTGTAAATATGTGAAGAAAAAACGTTCAATTTTTCGTATAAATAAAATTATTTACCGTTTCTGAAACAAATGAAAATTTTCTATTTATAATGTTCTCCAATCATTGTATTATTGAAGGAGGAAAAATCTGATTTATTATTGTTGTAAGTACGAATATTGCCACAGATATTTCAGATGATGACTGCATATCGACACTAATGCGATTGCTAATTAATATCTGGAATTTTTCTTATATTTTTCCAGAGATTGCATGTGCAATGAATGACGTCGATTTCACAACGTTCTACTCGGCGATTTTTCAAATTTTGAAAGATATGATGTCTCCAATCATTGTATTATTGAAGCCTCACGGCCTTAGTGGTTGAGTGATATGTTTCGACGATTAATGTCAAAACACTGTAGATATGTATGTACATTGATTAAGTTGTGAGAGAAACCTGGGATATTGCTTGTACTTCTAATTGTGTCGCAAAGGATATAACCTTAATAATAAATTTACCCAGCTAGAAATGATGAGTGCTTCTGTTTCTTATAGGAAGATAATGGTGCCGATGCTTTAACCTGCAACATAGAAGTAGAAAATATTTTGATAAGTATATTTTTAATGATAGGCAGAACGGATATGCCTTGGCAAAGCGTAACAAAAATGTTGCAAAAATTGCAAAAAGGCAATTTTGCAATTAATATTGTCAAAAATGAGTCAAAAATTTAAATACTTTTATACCATATGAATTTCTCTTAAAAAAAAAAAAACAGGTAAACGGATATTATTATTGGTACAAAATTTTTGTTTCCTCAAAAGAATTAAAATTTCCCAACAATTATTACAGTTCAGTTATTAAGGAAATGAGAAATTCGAGAGCCTTTCTAGCCGTTCTGAAAAAAAAGAAGTAAACACGAAAGAATTCCTTGAAGAAATTCAATAATCACTAATTCAATTTCTTGAAAAGTCGATTATAAAAGAATTTATAATTAAAAAAAGAAACAAACAAAACAAAGATCAGAAATTTGTTGGAAAAATTTACGATCCGCTCAACTGTAATTTATTGCATTTAAACACATATTTTTTGTTTTCAAATAAATTCTTTAACGAATTTTGATCGAATTAAAAGCATAAATGAATAAAAGCGGCAATAGTTGTAGTTCACGAAAAAGAGTTTGAACATCAGTGATGCAATTTAAAAGAACTCTGGTTTCCAATAACGATGATTTCGCTAGCAATTGGCAAACACGACTGACTGACTGGTAGGAATTAAAATGAATGATCAACGATCAAACCTATTTCTAGTTGTTTCAAAATTTGCTTAGCATAAAGACATATGATATCTGAAATGATTTCAAATAATTTTTGTTAATACTTATTTATTTCTTTGCAATTGAGAATTTGTGAAATTCGCTTGAATTCGAACTGCAGTGACAGCAATTGCAGTTCTCACGATGTGGCTGTGGAATTTTTCTATTGTTGGTATGGAATTCCTGGCCAAACACTTAGGTGATTTTGGTTGAATCAAAGTATATTGGTTCGATTGTACGATTGTTCGACTGTCCTCTTTTGAAGACAGCAAGCGTCTCATTAAAAATGAAATCTTAATGGTGATAACCACTTATCTACCCTTCTCCCCAAGTAATTCTAGAGCGAAATGGTTTCATTCCCGTTAATCAGTGAAGCCAATAATATTTAGTTTGTACTATTAAAAAATGAACAATAAACCAGAGCAATAATATTTAGTTTGTACTATTAAAAAATGAATATATATATACATATATATGTCTTCTTAACTAAATTTTGCTACAATAGTGATCTTAAAGTGATTTTCACTTAAATTTTTTAATTTCGGCTAATAACAAAATAGCAAAGTTGAACGATAGACAGTTAATTTTTCAGGTTTCTCGATTAATTTTAATTTTATTTTTAATTTATTAATTTCAATAATTTCTTTTAACTTTTTAATTTTAATTCTAAGTTATTTTTATTTTTAAAGACAATGGTGGCGATGATTTTAGACTTTTTTATATTTTCCAATATCAATATAAATCGCTCTATCATTTCTTATTTGATTACCAGATAGCCCAACAACTGAATCATTGAATGATACTTAAAATTTGATCCTGCATGGTCTTTTAAAATTTCGCTTTTTACTGACCAAGTTTATGAATTTTACTATGTATTTTACTGGAAAAGAAGAGCTTTTACATTTTAAGGCAACGATTGCTTAACAAACAATTAAATTGTTTAAAAGCAGGTTGGATTTGGAAAATTTCCATTGTTTTTATGTATGGAAAATAAGAAATAAATAAAAATGGAAATTCTTGCAGTTATATGAAGTTTTTATGAAGGTTTACAATAATTTTGCGGAGAATTTATGTTTTTAAGAAAATCAAACGAAAAATATTGCAAATACAAATATCTACGGAATCTAATTTCAACATTTTAAATACAAAACAGCAAGGTTCGCAGAAAAATGTATTCTTCCAATTTTTCGTCCAATTTCATCGAAAAAAGTACCCAAATTGAGTTGTCGAGACTTTCTTCCTATTTTTGATAAATGATTTCTGATAAAATATTTTTCAATGTTAAATTGAGGCAACAAATAGAACTTTTTCGATGAAATACCACATTTTTTCCACACTAATTTTTTTTGCAATAACTTTCGTGTCCTTTTCATATTCTTTTCTTCTTCTCCCTGCTCCACTGACTTTTATGGAGAGATCTTCAACACCGTCCTTTATAATATTTTCACTTAATGAACTATGAAAAGAAGAATTGATGAGATTAAGGCTTCAAAAATATTTTTTAGAAGCTGGCAAAGCGCTCACAGACTATCTGAAATTTTCTTAGAGACATTTTTTTTACTTCATCAAAAATTTTATTAATTTTGAAAAAAACTTGTAACAGCAAATTTCATCGAATCAATTAGTCTGTGTTAGTCCGTATTAATTAGTTATGAGTGATTTTTTAGAAAGAAAGAAAGAATATGTTAATTTGTCGAAGCTTACAAATGAGGAAGATGGAAAGCAATCGGAAAACAACAAAAGCTTACTTGAGGCTTAAGCATCTTAGAAATTCAGATTTAGAAATATACACTCTCAGATTTATAAAATCTCTCTCTCTCGAAGCTAATTCCATTCATTTGGCGCTCGTTTTATTCGGATTTACTTCTAAACTAGTCTATAAATTTATATAAACAAATATCTCATTTTACATTTTACCCTTGGCCTTGAAGTTCATTTTTAATCATCTTTTTATTAATATTTTCATCAAAATACAATTATCAAAACGAAATTTTGGGGGAACAAAATTTCTCAACAGCTCTTGCATCATCCAGAAAATTAAGCGAATGAAATTCCCAAAATAACATTTTATTTCCATCTTTTCAACTTTTATGGCGAATATGGTAAATAGAAGGTTCATCGACTCCGAAGATTGGCTCTGTCCGAGAAAACTAAATTATTTTTCATGGTTTTTCAATAAATATTCGCATACAATGGGTACCGATGGTTTATAAGATAAGACGTGCTTACCATAATTTTGCATAGGTAAGGAGAGCAGCTGTACATCCGACGCCTAACTTAAGATCTTAAAAAACTCGAATAAACATCACAAACCTCGTATTACAAATGGCTTCGCGCATTATATACTGGACAACAATCTAAACTGAACGATCAATTGAACGAAAAAGAGAACTTTAAATTTTTGAAACGGTAAATTTTTATTCCACGGCTGTTAATTTTATGCGCCATCAAGCAGAAGAGCATTCAAAACATTGAACGAACTATGCATAATGCATTGCAATATATCGTAGTTCATTTAAAGCTTTAAAGAGAATGAAATATCGTATAAATTTTTATTTCTAAAATCATCGCATCTCGAACAACGACAGCGAACGCGCTGCTAAATTCATTAATTTAGTCCGTCAATTTGTCAAAGTTGCAGTTAAATTTGCAAAATTTGAGCTAAAATCATTCACAAGGAAGCTGTACTATCGAAAAATCCATCGGTTTTATCCATTGTACATTAAGTGAGGTACGAAGCAAAAAATAGGACGAGAGTCAATGATTAAGAAAAACGGAGACCACTAAAAACTAAATATTCTGGAAGTTTGCTAGAAGAAAAAATATTGCTCAACGATTGATCGCCCTATTTTCCGTTTTAGCATAATTAAAAATTCAATTAAAAAAGACTTTTTCTTTATTTTCACCTTCATTTATTTATTTGAGTTGAAATAGTCGCTTTATTTATTTAAAAATTCGAGAATTCCACTTTTTAAGCCAACTAACTTTTCATTAGCGTTGTTAAACTGCACTCTCATATTTTTTCACTTATTTTTTACTTCTTAACATTTCAACAAACATTGAATATCGAAATTTAAAACAAATAATTTTTTCAAAAAAAATTTGTTTCCAATAATGCACTTCATGGTACTTTCAGATCTTTTAAATTCGCCTTAAAAATCCATCGTTCAAGCGAATAAAAAAACATCTTTTTCCAGAATCCGCGACGATTTGGAATCTCAAATCCAATTTTATCATCTTGATCGAAGCTGACCGAGCTGATTTATAGGAAACAAAATTAGATTTTAAGTTTTGGGAGATTTTGAAAAAACTTCGAAAATGGATGAATTTTAATTTCAAATACTGCAAAAATACAACATGTAATAAAATTTTTGTCCAAGAAAAGTGTTAATCCTGTTGATGTTTGGTCATTTCCCACTAAAATACGAGCTGCAAATGGATTCTATGTTCATCTAGAAAAAATGCCCGGCTTAATTTATATAAAATAAAGATTGAATTACATGGATTAATTTTAACAATTTGCTTTTTATGAACGCAAATATGTGAGGAAGAAATACAAATAGGACAATGGTGACTAAAGAAAAAGTAGCGCAAAAAACATATGGCCAACTCTCCAGAGACAGCTAGGGTATGGCAAAAGAAGTTAATGGCATTTCTATTCCTGCGTCCTTTCGAAGTTGACAACCTTTCTAGGTATCAGGAAGGCTCGTCAGAAACACGAAGTTTTAACATAAAATGTGCCAAAATATTTAATAACGCAAAAAAGGCTATGTTCAGAGGAAGCGATCAAGTGCACGCACACAGATGAAAGGCTTCATCATTAATAAGTGCCTTTTCCATCAATTTTACGCTTCTTGCAAAAAAATCTGCTAAAAAAAGTGTGTAAAATTATTTCAGTAGTAAAATTCATAGGAAATTAAGAGAAATTTTCCGTAAACGAAGCGACTTAATGAATAATGCCGATGAGGACCATCAGAAACAATTACTCGTGGGAAATTCTTGTGCTATCATAATTCCCAATCGGCAGTCGAATTGTGAAAGTAAACGACCATATGCGGAAAGAGTTAGACATATTACATATATAAAATTAGTGCCATTTACTAATGAAAATTATTACTAACAAAAGTTAGTGGCTTGGCAATTTCAGCAAATATCTCAAATTGCATTCACCGATAGTAAATTTTGAGAGCATCTAAAGGAATTTGAAATTTAGACGCTTAAATGTAAATATCATAGAGAATTTAGGAAAAAACGTATTCATTTTAAAGCCATCGTTTTCAGAAGCAATTGCTCGGCCTTCCAGCACACAGGAATGAAATACCCTTAAAAACGAGTGGTACTGGCGACCTACCGGCACTTCTGTTGCTAAGGAATTCCCTGGCAGAAATTTCGAACCTTTAAGGCAAAATACAGCAAAAAACAATACATTCATTTAAGACTATCGCTTTGAGAAGCAATGCTTTGGCCTTCCAGCGAAAAAATTTTAAACAATTAAACATGGAAATTTTATCAATTAGTCTTATTTTTATAAGAAAAATCCAAAATTCTGCGAATATTAGTCAACACTAATTAAACTGTTTAATTTCTGTCAAATTTTCAAATTCAAATTGGAACTAAAAAGATAGAAAAATGGTTTCAAGAGAGATATTTAATTTTTCGAAAATCCTACATTAGGCTTCCATTATTACAGTGTGTCTATCCGAGAAACTATAAATTATAACGTGCAGAATCGTACTGAATTGTTTTATGCACCATAAGTTATTTGAATGTATTAAGATGCATTATGTTAAGGCAAATTTCGCAAAGCGCAAATTGTCTTTCTGTTTTGAATGTTGCAAATGAATTTGATCAAGTTTCAAAGTTTCAGCGAAGCAGTGTCGTAGCAAGTTTCTAGTCGGTTGACTGGAGCCAAAATTGAAACAGGTGATGCTGGGAATTTGCCTGTAATTTAATCCACAGGTGGCTTTGCGACGAAATGGCTTCACTTCACTAGCCTTTACCAGTGAAAACTTGCTAGAAATGAACCGAAGCTTTAAGAAGAAATTCTTTAACCACTGGAAAAGAATGGATGCAATGCAGTCTCATCAAAAAACACTTAATGTAAGTCAAAGTTGTTCCGATGAAAAACTTATATACAAAACTTCCGATCCAGTTCGAGAGGATATGGAAATTAAAAACTCCACTCGAAGATTTTCGAATTGTTTATTTTCTCACAAAAATCTAAATTTAGCACTCAGTTAATCTTATCTTATGAACTGTTCAATCTTATTTTTTAAAGAAATATGTTCGTTAGTAAAACTTCATATTTAAAGAGTATTACTCTAAAGCGATCTGAAGTAATTTCTAAAAACTAATATTTAAAGAATTATGCAAACAAATTACAAATTACACGGACTATAGAGAATTAGAACAATTATTCTCAAATTCTTTTCATAATATTTTAAAAAACAAAACATTGTGAGCACCCACCCCATCGAAAAGCTTTAGAATGGCAGTCAATCGAATATGCAAAGAAATGAGACGAACGCTAAGAATCAGCACCTTACAGGCCGTATATCTCCTATTTTTTCATTCATATAAAGCAAATAATACCCAAAAAATATTTTTTCGCAAAATTTCACTTTTTGTCGCTACTTGAAATTCGCCAACAATAAATTAAAAATATGAAAAATTCAACAGGTTTGACTTCATGAATATAATATAACATTTCACGATCATTTATTTCACTTCATTTTTTCTTATTACCGCGAAATGCGAAAGCAGAAAGATAACAATGGAGCAATAAAAATGGAAAACAGATTCCAGCAGTTTGTCCTATCAGCAAATTAATCAAGGAACAAAGAATAGGCTAAAAACGCAGTTTTCTTGGTAATTTAATGGCAATATATTGACTATCCAGATTGGTTTGGATTCGAATCCGATGAGCCAATTTCGCCAATTGGATCCATTTTACTTTTGCAGTTTCATGACAATTATAAGACCAAATTATTATCGTTAACTTTTCTTAAGTCAAGAATTTTCTTTTTTCGATGATAATGTAGCAATTCGAGTGCAACACTTTTTTTTTTCTTGTATGAATGCTTTGTACTTTACAAATCCTTTGAATAAATTGAAAATTGTGTTTGATATTGCAATTCGCATCAAATTTTCCTCAGTAAAACTTTCGTGAATACTTAGCAATATTAGGAAAAACATCGGAAAATTTGAAAAATCAGGCAAATTAAGAGTTTGAAAATGAAATTTGCCATTCAATATATCAATATACTTTGTAATTATTATAAAGTTTATAATATACGAATAGAAAAATAATAAAGCAATAAAAAAACAAAAGTTATTATTTTAATATTGAGATTAAAAAGACGATTAACAAAAATAAAAATTACCCATATTAGAAAAAATTTGGACCACTTTATTCCTAATACTTTCGAATGAATATGGAATTGTGTGGCGAAGAATCCGTTAAAATAAAAGGAATTTTTGAGTAGAAGGCAGACTAAATAATAAAACAAGCCAGTAAGAAAAAATTCCAAAAAACAAGATTCTAAAAAATAAGACTTATGAATAAAAGATTTTTGAAGATATCAGTTTTGAATAAACTTTTATTCTAATTTTAATTCGTAATTCTTTTCCTTTTACCATAAGATTTAGTGGTACTTCCCTCAGCATTTTTATCATGAGCTATTGGATTCTCTCCGACTCCATTTTGACCAAAAGTTTTCTTTTCTATAAGCAACTGCAACTCAAACAATTCATCCCGAAAAAGCACTCGCAAAACTGGAATCAACTTCGGCAACCGATGTAGATCATTAAATGAGATCGACATGAAGTCCATCGCTATGCCAACATTGTCGTTTTGAAGATAATCGGGCAACGCAGGTACCTTCAAGAAGGTTTTTAAAAATATCAGTAAAATATATATTAAAACGTTAATAAACAATAAAAAATTTCATATTAACATGATACAAATATGAAGAAATGTGAGAAGGCAAGTGATTTTTCTCTTTGCTATCAATTTATCACCACTGCTCTTATTATTTCTTCGGAATTTAGAAATGGTTAAAAAATATTGTATAAATCATTTGAAAAATTTTTTAACAAATGATGAAAACCATAAAAAATCCTTCCCTTTAATAATCCTTTAATTATAATTCTTTAGATTGTTAACACTTTTGATTTTTTAATGATAAATATTAATTTTATTTAATTTTAATAAAATGCAACCAATGTGCACCAATGCTAGAATTCTACTTCTGGCAGAAATAAACCAGTCATTCAAAAAGTCGACTAACTTATATCAGCAAATGACATCTTGGCAAAATATGCTTAATCCGATAAACCAATGGAGCGAGTTTAACCAGAAATGGTGAGCGCTCTTAGGTAAAAAAAAATTACCACTTTATATCGAGCACTGAAATGCGTTAAAATGATGTATTTAGCATTCATCTTACGACCAATCTCAATTGCTTGCTTCATCGTGCTATGTTTTTTGAAATTAGCATGAATCTAAAATACAACAAGAGTTGACGAGAAAAAACGATACAAAATAGGATTTTCAAAAAAATTTAGTATATTATATGATTTAAACAAACTACAGAAGAAATCTATTATTCAATCTATTAAAAATCTATTATCAAAAATTTTCTCGTAAATAAACAGTACTTCAGCTTCATCATGGAATGTGCATTCATGTACCAGTAAGTCTGCATTTTCTCCGTATTCAGCAAGGTTATCGCAAGGTTTCGTATCACCAGAAAAAACAATTTTTCGATTGTTTGAATCGGTAAATACGTAACCGCATGACATTCTTGTATGATACACCTGAAATCATACATTCTTGTATGATTACATGGAATTTAGATGAAAAGAACAACGACAACCGAAATGACAAAATTTAAAATATATTAATCTAAATAAAAAATAATTGACCATTTGTCAGAGCAAACTTCGCAAATTTAGAAATTATTTTGATAACCACGTTATTACTTAGCAAACAAGAAAGTAAAAAACAAAATCTCTTGTACGAAAAAATACCCATCCATTCCAGTGAATGAAAAACTCACCTTTACTGCTAGGATTTTTTTTAAGCCCCACTTAGTTTCATCAAAAAGGGGTTTTGGCATTACTTTCGTAATATCCTGTACAACAGAAAAAAGTGACTGCTCTGTTGCCTTTTTCCTTTTGTCCAAAGCGTTTTCTCTGAAAAACCCTTGTAATATGACGAAAAAATAAGAAAGATAAAATGCTATAAAGATACGAACTAAAACTAAAATTTTTCCCACATACCCCAAGATGTATCCAGCTTGATTATATATAGAACATGTGACAACTGAAATCAGCATTTGGAGATCACAAAACATGCGAGAGAAATTCTGAAGTGTTTTCGACACGTTGGGATTACAAATTAACACAATCTTTTCATATTCTATTCCTAAAATAAATTTAAAATAAAAAAATTAAAATATTAAAATAAATAAATGGCCAAATAACAAAAGCCTTTGGAAGAGTTGTACGAACAGGAGCAATAAACAACAAAGAAAAGTGAAAAATTAATAATAAAGGAGCAAATGGTGGAGAAAAACTTAAAGCCACATAAGATTTATTTTCCCAGAATGTTTAAGATAATTTTTTACAGCAACGAAGAAATAATTAAAAAGAATCAAAACCAAAATTTAAAAAAATGAACCTCTTTTGATGAATTCCTCATATCGACGCAAAATCAAGTCAAATATGCCCATCATATGATCATGATGTGCGTGAGTAATAAAAATAGCTTTAATCTTAGTTAAAATTTCTCCACAATGATCAGCACCAAATAAAACATGTAACTGGCCTAAAGAAAATGCAGTAAAAAAAAAGAGAAACAACAAAAAATGCAAATATATGGATGTAAGGTATGGTATATAAATAAGAAATTGAAAGATTTATCAACCAGAAGTGCCTTCACCGCAATCGATCAATACATAAGAATGATGATTTAATTGCAACAAATAACTTGATACATTGCGAAATCTGGTAGGAACGGCAGATGATGTGCCCAAGAAACATAACCGAGGGAATTCAATAGCCATAGAATCACTGCCTATGCCTAAGACATGGCTAAGTTAAATAAAACAATAAAATTAAATAAAAAAAGAAATTTTTATAGCCTTTAGCCTTCATAATTTTTTACGACAAAACTTTTGATTATATTATCAATATTATCAATAATTACAAAATTCTCGAAAATCGCTTCATCGCATGTTGATAGGCGTGAATTTAACAACACGAATAGAATTATGTTAATTTAGCTATAATATAAATACTTCTAATAAACAAAAACTTTTTTCTTTATATTCATGCGGATTTTATAGAAAATTCAATATAAATTTGGTATTCGACAAAAAATTGTGCTCAACACAGGTCTAAGAAGAAGATGACAGAAAAAGGAGTGGTTCCTCTTACTTTGGCAACAGATTGAAAAGCTTACCTCATTCTTATAACCAGTGAAGCCAAACTGCTTTTAATAAAGTGGAATTAAATTAGACTATAGCAAAGAATGTTGCATTTCCCAAAGAGCAAATAAGTAACCATGACTTATGGCAAATTTAAGAAGACAATTAATTTAATAAATGCGATTTAATGCCTAATAATTTACTAAGTTTAAATTAGAAAAGCATCAAACTTGCTCGATAACCATCAACTGCAGTTAAAAGACCGTCATGTTCACTGATATTTTTCATGACTTCGTTTCTGCTGACGCTGAATGAGATGGTCCCTGCTGAATCAAATTTACCTCTCAAAACAAATCTTTGCAACGCATGAGCATATAGGCGACGATTGCTTAATTTTGGCTGTTGGTTTTCCTGCTCAAAGCACCAATAAATATGAAATGAAATTTCATTCATCAATCAATTTTTTTAAATTTAGTAATTATGAACAATTAAAAAGGTAAATGCATATTTTCTGTGAAAAAATGAACTGAAAGCACAAAATTGAAAAAGCTAGGTATTGCATAAAAAATCTGCAGATATATTTACTTGATTAATTTATTTACCTGATTTACTTGACCATCAAAATCCGATGACAAAGTTTTCGGGAACAATTTGGGATCGATGAAATTCCAAATATTATGCAAAAAATAACATTTTTGATCAACTGGAATACATGGACCACTCCCATTGAGAATAATATGGGTACATTCCGTTCCAAACATATCCATCCACTCAGAATATTTTTCACTTTGAATTACTGGTTCTTTCGTAAAATGTATGATATACTGCAGTTGTTTAGTCCTATTTTCAGTCATGAAGCACTAAAAAACCATTCCACTTTTTTAAAAGCTTTTTGGAATTGTCTGAATTAAAAAAACAGTCCAATTTTAGTTCTAATTTTGAATCAAAATTCATTGAAAAAATCAAGAAACGCCGTTTTTAAAGAAAAAATAGATCACTTGTAGTAGTGAGTTACTCATCAAAGAGGGTAATCGGTCGAGATGACAACATTCCACAAATAAAACTGGACGCGTATCTAAATTTCCTTCAGGGAAAAGTACATCTTCTGGCTAAAAAATTTAAAAATTACAACATCAGAAATTTTTGGGCAATGAATGTATAATTATTTAGTTTGATTCTTATATTCTTTTTTCTTGAGTTTTCAGATTCTTATTATACCCATAACTGCTTTTTGAGAAATTCATTAAAAGATATAGGTCGGGGAAAGAAACTTTTATATAAAGAAAAAAACCTAGTCAATGTTGCTTCAAAAAATAAAATACAATAAAATTAAAGTCCAAAAAACTGAAAAAAAAATTGTCTAAAATTATCTAAAAAAATCTAACAATATTTATTATATTATATTTGAAAAAAAACCATAGTACCCGCCCATATTTCTCAAAATTTACGAAAAAAAACTTAAAATTTGAAATCAAATTTACTGTTATCTTTTTTCCATTTTCTAAAACCACGTCTTTTCCAGCTTTGAGTTGTCCTATGAGCGGTCCACATGGTACGCCTAAATCTAGAACCTTTTGTACATCAACTCGACGTGAAGGACGATTAAATTCCACCAAATAAGCAACATCAATCTAAAACTTTTTCAAATATTTTCGATATATTAAATAGATCTCAACAATACAAAAAAAACCAAATTTTTGAATATATTATAAAAAATTGTAAAAATAACTGTATGTATGAAAAAATACCTCTTGTAAATAATCTCCAATTTCCCTAAGCCCTTTTTTGGTTGATGTAACTGGCAAATAATATACACTTATTGCAGAATCAGAATATTTCGCCGCTGAAAGCGGCATTTCTTCCATCTAAAATATGAAGCATTACGAAGCGATATAAAGAAAATCCCAAATCTAAGTCATGGGAGAATATAAGAAATTCTCAGTTATATGTATAAAGATCTCCGTAGTAAACTTGTCAACTTATATACTAAATAATAAAACGTAAAATGTAAATTGACGTGTGATTATCCGTAATTATCAACATAGAAACTATTTTAAAAAAATGTTCTAAAACAAAGTGGTAAAGAAAAATTAAAATAAAAAAGACTGAATTTAATCAAAGAAAAGAAGAAAAAAAACCTCAGCCGGATAGGTAAAACCAAAATCTGAATCGGCAAATGGTCGAGTAGCTTCCAAAAAAGATCGTAAATGCTTCACGCCGTGAATTCTTACAATCCCAGAACCTCCATCTTTCGATAGAATAAGAGAATTTACACCACTAAAGTTACTCCAACCAGCTGAAAAGTTTCGGATCTATTTTCTATATATTTTACGAATCAAATATGTTAAATTTATATCTCGTCTAGCCATATGCTGCAAACGGTCAAAAGAAGAAGAAATAATCTTAGTCATCAATAAGCCTAAGACCAATAAAACTCTGGAAGAAGATGGTCTCCGGGCTGAATTTCTGAAATGTTGTCCGCCATCCATCATAACATACCTTCAACAAGTGTAAACCCTGGTATGGAAGAAAGGAATAATACCAGACGATTGCAGCAAAGTATAGTTCTGTTCCCAATTCCCAAGAAAAATGACAAGATAAAGTGTGATAATTATAGAAGAAACAATCTAAAGTTTCAGCAAAAATTATTGCTTCCCTTCTACTCATTCAAAAGATTTATGGAAGTACGAGACAATAGGATGCGTCCCAACTAAGCTGGACCGGGAAGCGGTTGAGAATTCAATTTATCAGCGTATATCGGTACAGGTCAGGACTCTTTCGAAATAATAACTGGTATCTTCAAAGTTAATAATATCCTTTCCCTTATAATATTCAACTATGCGACAGACTGGATAATGACATCGTTTATCGACATAAGAAAGTGCAAATTAGTTCAGATCATAGTAGCGGGGATCATGAATAAGCTGATAATGTCGACAACCTTTTTGCAGACAATTATGATGAAATGCAAATAATGCGACTGCAGTGAAAAAACCGGATTCAGGGTCAAGATAAACAAAACAAAAGTTTTACACAGGAAGCTGACAAAATGTCTACTTTTATCAGTTATCACGGTTGAGAAAGTGTCCAACTTTAAATACCTTTTCTAACATTACTGGTTAGGCTGGCTCCAAAGGTAAGATATTGAGTCCGATGCTATCGTTGACAATAGAAGCTTTTTTCCATCGTTTAATCCATATGCCGCTGGTCCGCCTATATATTCAAAAACTTTCCTAATAATCTACCTTAGACTCACTCTAATACCGAATGGCCAGATAAAAGACAAAATTACAACCCGGACAACGGTAGCTACAAATGCGTTTTTCTGATTGATGAAATCTTTATGGAGCCACCGCGAAATCACCATAAAGAAAAAATTTAGCTTCCATTAGCTGCAACTCTTCCTATATGGCTACTTGTTAAATGGCGCCGTTGAGAGTGGAAGAAGCTATCTGCCACTGACCAATCATGCCTACGATACATCTCACCGGCCTGTCGAGAGGATAAAAACCGCTTATTTTATGCATCCATCCTTGTTCAAAAACCACTTGCATTAAGAGTATCACCGAGCGTCGCCTTCGCTGGTTAGAGCACATTCTTCGTCGTCCAGAATAAGAGTATTTCGTTACTTGTTAAATCCTGTCGAGTACGTCAAAAGCGAGATAGGCCAATTAAGACCTGGATTGATACGTTGAAGAATTTTGAACGTACAGATGGATCAACAATATAAGGACTTTGACGATGAAAAAAGGAATGGCTTCTGTAGCGATTACTGTAGCGATAGCTTCGGAGCGAACAGCTTGGAGAAATTTTACTCTTATTGCTAGCGGAGTCAGCCTAACCAGTAATGATGAGAGTTCATAATTCATATCAAACTTCTTCAAAAATCATAAGAAAAATGAGAAAAAAAATCGTAAAAAAAAGCAATTATTGCTTTTGTAACAATTGCAACAATTTCTAGAAAAAATTCTAAAATTAATTTTCTTCTTAAAAACTGAAAAATGGAGAAAATAGAAAATAACCTCGAGTGCAAAATATATCATTGACAGCATTTCCTTTTATATTCATAAGACTGATAAATCTAGCACAACCTTCAGGACAATTAAACAAATAAATATTGAATGGGGTTCGAATTGCTGCACATGGAGCTACTTGAAGCGTTCCATTACTAAGAACCTGAAAAGTTATTAATCGAAAATACCAGAATAAAATAAAAATATAATTTTCTAAACTTTTGCAACTTTTTTTTGATCACTTATTGTTAATATAAAGATGAAAAAAACCTCAAGCGATACTCGAGCAGCCATTTTTTCACCAATTAATTCCGAAGTTCGTATTCTATCATTCGCTAATGCAATACTCTTTTCGATATTTCTCAATGACCTTTCTGCTTTCCTTGATAATGAGCTTAGTGGTATTAATCTGAAAGCCTTTTTTTATACTTTTTTTTACTTACACTTCTTTTATACTTTTTTATACATATTACTTATTTGTAAGATAAATTTATTTTATAAAATAATTGTACTTAAATATCGTAGTTTTTTCTACTTTTATTCTTCGTATTTCATATTTCTGCACTGTTTTCTTAAGTTCCTACATCAGCGCCAGATTCACTTTCAAAATCTATGATGTTTTGAAAAAAAATATTTTGAAATAAAGTTTGGAAGCCATATGTTAAGGTTAACAATGAACAATTAAAAATCTTTCTATTTCTATTCATTTGGTACTAAATTACTTTATTTATATTCAAAAAAATTGCAGTAAACTTTACTCTCTAATATAATGCGATTACTTCATTCAGATATGAAATATGAAATTTCAAAAATCTTACTCTCTAAGGCCTTGCTTATATCGAGCGATTCCTTCATTCAAATGTTTATAAATATGGTTGATATCTTTGCCTAAAATCATTTATGATGGTAAAGAATAGTGATTTGTAGTAGTAATAGTAATAATAATAGTAACTTGTTTATTCATTTGGAACAACGTCTTATAAATTTCATTAAAATATAGAAAAAAATGTGAAAAGTGAAAAATGATAAAATTTAATTTTAACTGGTTTTAAATAAGCAAATCAAATATAAATGAATGTATTTAATTCCTTAATTTTATCGCTGATTATTTTTTATAATAAAATCTTTAATTCTGCAAATAATTCTTGAAAAAAACCTCTATGTGACGAGAAAAAAAGTGTATTTGTAGTAAATTGATGCTTTATAAATCTTTTGCAAGTAAATAATTTCCTCCAACGACAATTCATCGATTTGAAAATGCCGTTAATATGGATGATATCCAGGAAAGAATCGATGAAAATATTCGATTGATCCCCGTTCCAAAACAACTGAGCAAAACTCTCGATTTTAATTTATAACATCATTTAAAAGCCACTAATAGTCGAATAAGAAGATTCGATAAATTGCGAAAAACTCAGCACCATAAAAGCAATACAAGTTCAATTTACTGCAATTTACCTCACCTAAGTGAAATCCGTGCAGAATCAGCTGCATTTCTGTCCTAAAGTGACTCGTCAGCGGAAAGACCTGGGACAGAAGCAAGGGAAATAGCGAAAGCATAAAGCGCTTTGAAAAAGGGCTCTCGAAGAAAGAGAAAACGAGCAAAAAAAGGAGCAGCAACGATGGGATACCTCCGCAAAGGCTTGTGGTGCCGCACAAATGGAAAATAACCAAAGTCTAGTTTTAATAACAATAAATGATAATAAGAATAAATAATATAATTAAATAAGAAAAAATGGGTCGAAAAAAAGATAAACGAAGAAAAATATTAAAAACTATAAAAAATTTACAGTCGTTAATAAAATTTTATTTGGTCAAAAAACAGATATCGAAGAATATTAATCAGAAATTGTATAAACGATTATAAAAAGCGAAAAGGAAAAACTGACTTTGCGGAGACAAAAGATGAGCGCTTTCTGCTGGGAGAGTTTAAATTTAGGCTAAAACATGCTTTGTTAAGGAAACCGAAGGACATGCTTTATTAAGGAAAACAAAAAGACTTCACGAGGATGCGATTCGCATAGCATATTCAGTTGATATTTGAATGGAATATTCGAACTGTTGATCGAAATTAACAGTAAGCAGAAAATCATTTCAAGATAATTATTCAACAGTTGCAGCTAATGTTTAAGTCATAGTATCATGAAAGCGAATTCTTTGAAAAACCTCACGAAACTATGAATTCTTGTGATAGTTTGCGAAAGTTTCATTCATAGATCTGGTCTTGATCTCTTTAAAATTGTGTATAATAGGTCTATTCACGTTCACATTTACATTAAGAAATTCCATTAGTCGCATAAGTCATAGGTATGCAAATAGAAATGAGTTTATTACGCCTTAGCAGATCGCATACAAGGAGCACTTTCTATGAGAGCGATTATGGCAGCAGCACAAACCGCAGCATTGTTTGTTTGTACCGTATTTGTTTTGAGGTACTCAATTAATTAGTAGTACGTTCACTGCGCTGCAATAGAATCTTACGATTGAAGGTCGTCGCTCGAAATAGGTTGGTTGAGCATAAAAGTGGGGGAGCAAGTTGGGATCCACCTGCACCTAATTCCAGCACCAGCTAATCGGAGGTAAGCCAAGCCAATCCTTCATCTGGCTGGCATCTAAGCACATTATCCAGCCACTCCATGTGCTATATATTCCTTATAACTTATCTGTTTCAATCCCTAAACGATCACAAAAGCATTGAAAAAACTCTACTCGTCAGCGATCATTGTTGTTGGGATAAATTCAATTAGTTATAATTGTGAATAACAGTCAAAAAAATGTTTACGTAGCACCAGGTTTACGAGGAAATTTCATTATTGGTCTCATTATAAAATATCCGTTCCAGCGAACCGTAAACGATTTACATCAATCTCAATCGAGGCACAATAATGATGAGACACATGGATTCGCTGCATCAGTGAAGGAACAGGTTATTTTATTCATTCACATTTTATGGGCGGTTTGTTAAAACTAAACCATTATGTATCGCATTATGTATCGAAACAGCTTTGCTTACGTCTGTGGCTACATTGCGACTATTATTTTATATTCAGTTATAATATAAAAGCAATTAAAAATGATAATTTTTATTACATAAAAAACACAGGCACTTAATCAAAATACAAAAAAGAGTAAAGCAAAAATGGATGGCAAAAAAATTTATTTTAGTAATTTGACTTATTTAAATCATTTTTGATATGTTTGCTTGTATTTTTGCTTTGCTATAATCACTTATCACTGATAAATTTCTTTTAAGTCGATATCATTCGAAATTGGAATTTTTTTACAATTTTCTTTCAATTTTCCGATCAAAATTTTCTATCACAAGTAATTTTCGTAATTTATGTTTGGAAATATATTTCGTTTTAGATTCAGGAATACTATTTAAACCTCTTTAAACCAAATCCAACTTATTTACTTTTCTGATTAACAACAGAAAATTTAAAAAATTGAGAGGAGTGGCAAACTCAAATTTAGGAATGTATAAAACAAAAAAATTTTTTCATATTTTACAACGATTTGCCACGAACTTAAAAAATTGTTTGAAGGGTTAGTTAAGTGAACAAATTTTTTCTAAAAAAAAATTTTGAAAATTTAATAAATTTAATAATAAAAAATTTTTAAAAAAATTAGAAAAAAACGAAAAATTTGGTATGCATAATTGTCAGTTCAGTAGTAATAAAATTTTGCAAAAAGAAAATAATGAATTAGTGGCATCTTTCACCGTTTAATAAATAATGTCGAAAAAATTTCATATGTTTGACTGTGGCGTAATCCTTTTATTTATTATTTTATGCCATTCGTCATTTTCATTTAATATCATCAATTAAAGAGAAAAGGTCATTACAATCATTTGGAATATTTGGAAAGACATGATCGGTTGAAAAATCTAAGAAATCTGGATTCATATGGTCCTGAAATAGCAAATGGCGCCATTAATTGTTTCTAGAGTTAGAGTCAAAAGTTAACATTTTATCGTATCTTGATGGAAATTGATAAAATTTAAATAACTCCATTAAGTGGATTTACTGGCCGCATAAATCATCTTAGATGGTTCTCCTCCTTTTTATGCTATACGATATTTCTGGCCTGGCTGACTCCACTGGTTATATTTCTTTCTTTTTTTAGATAAATTTAGAGGACAAAGAAATTGCAAATAAGAAAATACGAGAGGGCAAGACAAATCCCAAGAACTATAAAAAAGATGAAACTCACATCGATTGATGAAACTAAAGTTGTACACAAAGTGCTTGTTGATGATGGTTCATCAAAGGAATTTTGAAAATCTGTTTGAGTTGAAGAATCCAGTTTAAAAATTTTCGATGAATCGCCTTGAGTTGATGAAAATAGTGGCTGCAAGACAGTTTCATACGAACTTAAAATAATTTCTGGATTGAATAGAAATACCTGTAATAACACAATAGTCGTTTGCTATTTCGCTATCCAGGTTAGAAAATCAAATTGATGATGAAGAAACGTTGAGAACAACTTGAGAACAACATTTTGAGAACTTTGTGAATACTTCCCGTTTAAACTAGAAATATCAAAAAATCCCGTTTAAACTAGAAATATCAAAAATAATTGTTTCGATTTACCTGTAGCGAAATTTCAGCTGGATTTTCGAAAGTTGGTGGCGAAGAAGATGTAACTGGCTCTAAAAGTTTCGACGATCCATCATCAAACATTTCATTCAAAATGCTGTTTCCTTCATAACCAAGACCGAATGCTTGAATAAATTGTAAATTTTCTGACATTATTCCAGAAAGTGACTGAAAAAAACAGATTTCTTGCGATTTTACCATTAAATCATCTCCAAGCAAATTACATATTTTTTTTTTAATTTAAAAGGTTGCTATTTCAGTTTCTGAAAAATATTGAAAACAAAAAGAATTATTATGCAATTTTTAAACATATTTTTAAACTTACCATTATTGTAGGAATCAAAAGTAAAAGATTGCCGAAACGTGACGATGCCCTATTGTTGGAATGAAGCTCTCTTACTACTTGGAATAAAGTATCTTGAACTCGATCTCGTAAATGAGATACCATATGTTGAGCTGTACTTGTTAAGCCTTTTGTGTCTAAAGATTGCACAATAGAGTTTCTGCTTACATTAAGATAACACTTTACTACGTTTCAGTTTTTTCAAATTTATTCAATTTTCAAATAAATTTTTAGTTCAGGCGTACAACAAGTCTCACCAGTCCAATTTGTAAAAAAAAAAATTTTTCTTCCAGCAAATATAAATAGTAGAGTGCAGTGCAGTTATGTTGCTTTGGCCAAGATTAGGATCACTGGCTTCTTTTTACGTTAAGGGAAATAAAAAACCTGTCATTTTAAGAAAAGAATTAAGGTAATCCAGAAGCGACTTTTGTCAGGTAGTGATGATGATTAATCAAATACGATGGCAGAAATTATGAAAAGCTTATTGGAATCAACGAACAATTTGCAGAAAAAACCAACTTCGGCGGAAATTTGTTCGATTTCTAGGAATCTTTTTATAGGAGTAATCCTATCATTAAATGTGGTCTTGGATAAACATGTGGGGAAAAAAACCTTTGCACTTGGCGATCTCTTCTTTATAAAAATTATATAGGGAGGGCAGGGAATATAGTTATTATCATGATAAACTGAATTTATAAGTCTTGTAATCAAATAAAAGTAAAAAAATAGAAAATCCAAATTAATGAATAAATTACTTGGGTCTAAAAGAATAATTGCTTTTAGCGAAACAATTTCTTCTTCTTTTAAATTAAATTTCCGTAATTGTGTAACTAATTCATTTAAAATCCGATCGATGAGATCATCTGACAATTGACTGCAAACAAATATTTTCCATGATCAACAACAGCATAATTGTTATGCATATTTTACTTGCATTAATTTGCATATCAATGGATGAATATTTATTATATGAAACTGGTTATTATTTAATTCTAAAAAGCAACTAATTTTTGCAAATATTCCTTAAAAAAATAAATTTCTAATTTGTTTAATAAAGAAATTTTACAAAGAAGTTCTTATCGGCATACGGATTTTTTAGCGTCAAGTTTGCTTCTGTCAAACGAAAGATCCAAACCATAAACCGAAACGTTGAAGCTAATTCTTAAAATAGCTATTCGAAAAGTCGTTAAAAAGCATCATTCTTAGAATTTATGGAAAAATGATTACTTGATTTCTTTAAATTCAGGCGGCAATTTTCTAGGCACATAGGAGAAATCGCATAGACAAAGAATGTCGGGATTCCTTGTAATTTGCGTAGTTTTTATTGCAAAATCAAATATCGTTAGCGATGAATAGCATGATTTCACCAAAGCTATCTAATTTTAAGAATTTTTGTAACTATTTGTCTTAATCGAGGCAACTGTAACAAATGGCATAGATTTATTGAAATTAGTTCAACTAAAACCAAAGTGCTCACTGAATCCACCATATTTTGAAAGATTAATTTAGAAAGATTTAATGGGCAAAATTTTTGGAGTTCACGAAATACAAAATTATAAAACATAAATTTCAGTAGAACTGTCTGCACAAAAAATTTTGTTTTTTGGACTAAATTTTTTATGTTTATAGATTAGATTTGTGATTTAAATAGTTGCTTGCTTTTCACAGCTTCACAAAAAAAAATACCTTGTCATCAATATCCGTGAGATCAGCGATCTCTGTCAGTGAATCGACCCATTCGACAGCCGCCATTGCTTTTCGATGTGCTATTTGAGACATTTCATCGACTCGAACCATACGACATGGCGCAAAAACTTTCTGAGCGGAATTATTTTCAAATTATTCTTCTTGAGGAATCGATAGGCAACTTGGAGTTTTTATTAAGGGGTCATCGGTTTAAGATAAGAGTTGTTTTTTGCTTCACTAAGTAAGCGCAAAAGAAAAATGAAAATCATTTCTTTCAGAATTTCCGAAATATTTTCCATGATTTTCCATGAAATGATTTTATAGAGTGGATAGACATTAAGGGATTTCTGTAAATTCGTTTGGGTAACAGTTTCGATTAACTATGATTTCAGATTTTAAACAAAGTTCATAGAAAACAACAAATAATAAAATACCACAAAAAGATATCCTAAAAAATCCACAATTTTAAAGATGCAAATTTTCCAAAAAAAGAAGTTTCTGTTAAATGAGTTTCGGTCAATTTGGAAAACCTAAAAACTGTTTGCTTTTATACCTGCGACCGTTTTCCAATTAATACTGGTTTTCTTTCAAAGAGCTTTCTTAATGAAAAGTTATTAATCGACACTTTCTCGTTGTTCATCACCGAAATGTTATCCTTTACAATTTTAGAATCTATATTCATCAGTTGCATTAATAATATTCTAGCTTCGACGGACAGTTTACGCGACCAGTCAGTTTGCAACTATAAACATAAATATTCATAAGAATTTCGATATTAGCAATATTTTAAAATTATTTACTTTTATTTTCCTTCATTTTACTATTTCTTTAAAATCATCAAAAAATTAATTATTGATTAGAAGAAAATATGTGGAATATGAAAAAAGCTGGAAATTACTACTTACTGTGTAACCGAATAAATCATCGTTTACACATCGCTTCTTCAACCTGGGAACTTTTTGTCTTCCAGTTAGATCTCGATCGGGTCGAACTGCTGAAATTCTTCAATAAATATAATAAACAGACTTTTTGCCAACTTGATTCGCTGACTAAATACTATATTTTTATGAAGAGAATAACCTTTTGGATCCATGCCAACATCAAGGCACCTTCTAAAACGACAATATCTGCAACTATTCCTTTGATCTGAAAAAAACGATTTATATCACCAAATAGCAATATACAAAAATCTGTTAACATTTATTACCATTAGAAATTCCACATCGACTTATTTTTTTGTTATAGACATATATAAAATTGCATAATTCACCGAAATAATTTCAAAGGCAACTAATCACATTTATCAACGATGCAAGTTTTGCCAAATCGACATATATAGCGATATTTTCCCGTTAGAGTTCTTCGAAAAAAGCCTTTGCAACCGTAACAAGCAAGTATGCCATAATGTAATTTAGCATGACCATCACCACATACTGCACAAATAGCATCGTCGCCTGAAATAACATCCAACAGTGTCGATCTCACTGATGCTTTCACAGGGTAAAGTGAGAATGATTTATCTACTAAACTTGAAAAAACGCATGAAAAATCACACATCGTGGATTAAACCGAAATTTCTTCCTTAGTCCTTTATATATATATATATATATATATATCATATTTATTTAAATTTGTTTAGTTTTGTTTAGTTTGTGAAACCAATTTTTAACACTATTTTTAGCGCTATTTTTCCGTTTCTTATCAGTTTGGTTATCAAATTTTCTATTTCGCTCAAACATTTTAGGAGTAATTTCGGACGCAGTCTATGTTTACTACTTTCAATTGCTCATGCTATGAATTTGCAAGAATATTCTGAAAAAAACCTGTTCGCATGCATTCAAGGCAAACTTACCGCCCGATTTTTCCTTGATATTATATGGTGAAAATATAGACGTACTGCTTGTTGCTAATCTTGTTTCTACATCCATTTTGTCACTAAAAATATTTTTGAACAAATTTTTTCTCACAAAAGCGTGCAATTATTTTATGGAAAATATTTTTAAAAAACTTTATGAAATTTCTTTCTATCTTAAAATTTGTTCTTCAACCAAATATACTAATAAAATTAAATCATTTATTTTAATTAGTGGGAATATTCATTTTATTATGATAATAGGAAAACCATTTTTGTTCATGGATAGAAATCGTTAAAATTATACTCGACTATAAATTGATTTTAATTCTGGAATTCTAAAATTCTGATTTATATTAATTCTAATTCTGGAATTTTCTAAACTGAATCGTTGTTCTCCTTATTACCATATAATATAAACGTTATTACGTAGCAATATCAAACATAAACGATCGAATAAATTAATGATGCATTAATTTTTACCAAATTTACCAAAAAAAATGAGGAGAAAATGTGATCATTTCAGCAAGACATTATACTTGGCTATTGTAAATTAATGGAGTATAAATCAAATACAGGCATGTATCGTACTTAAATTCTTATCATTACCATCATCTATCAAAAGTTCATCGAAATACCAAAACGAAGAAGGAAACGAATGAACCTCTTCCATAATATATAATAAAAAATGGAAGGCTATTCGTGTGACTTAAATTTAAATCTCTCTTGAGAAGTAAATTTGATAAGAATTTTTAGATAAATAAAATTAAAACATTTAGAGGGCATTCTTATAAATACTGCATGATACAACCTGCTTAAAAATATTTATTTTGGGTGGAAATTGAAGAAGAATTCAACAAATTTTATCGAATTCTTAAGTTCAATATTTATTATAATATCATATGACCACATAATTTCATCTGATTGCAGATCTGTTCATTTGAAAAGCCTGCTATTACAATCCTATTGAGAACCACTAGTACCTCTATCTTTGATCTAGTGACATTCCAACGCTAGCAGGCAATAAAGGCAGCCAAATCTAAGAATAAGTCTGTTTTTTTTAAGAGTCACCATTACTGGTTAAGCTCGCGCCGCTGGCTTGTCGTATCAGACAAATATGCCAGAGAATTCCTTGGCGATAGAAGCACAGGTAAGTCGCCAGCATCACCCCGGATTTTTGGACAGGTTTACTCCTGCGGGAAATCGGACGTCAGCATAGGCACTCCAAATTGAGCCACAACTCATAAGCCATTCTATCTCAAAGATAAATCTGTTAAAAGAAGAATAAAATAAAGTAAAATTTTCATAGGAAATGGATAGCAGAATAACTTTTGCTTGGTAATGAAGAAACTATTATTAAAGACATCAAAAAATAATTTAAGAAAAGTGACCTAGAGAAAAATTGCTCTCGACTCAAATACTCCTAGGAAAAACAAAATATTCCGGAAATAAACATTGACAATCACAGATTTTTTAAAAATTACCTTCGAATATCAATACATCTGAATAACTGTGACTGAGTGTTTTCATATTCTCCTTCGATTATATAATCGTCATCTTCATCATTGTTTTTTTGACATTTCCAATAATCGAAATCCATTGGCAGAAACTGAAAATTTTTTTCATCACAAGCACACTTTTCATTTATTTCATCTTTTTTCGTTTCATTTGAGGATCTTAAAATTTAAGATTTCTAATTTCAGAATGCTGATTTCTAATACAAATTTTTAGTAAATCATATTTAATCATTTAAAATTGAACATTTTAAAGGAACTCATTTGTTATTTATCTTAAAAATAGTCATTTATTTTTTAATCTATTCGGTGACTTAGAAAATCTTAAGTATATATTTGCATTAAATATTACATTTACATTGTATTATATTTTATACAAGAAATTGTCAGGATGAATAGCCACAAACCGTTTATTTTGTTTATATTATATTTCCTTGTTTGCTTTTCATAAATATTTCTGAAATTAGCATTATTATGGATTATTTTAAATATTTCGTTATTAATGAAAGTGAATTATTTACAGACAAACCAATTCAAAACAAATATTTACAATAAAACGAAAAAAATCTAAAAAAATCGCACTTAATACAATTCCAGGAATGTTAGCAAAAAGAGAAGCGAAGCAATAAATCCACGTTTTCCAGGCTAAAGAATTTTGAAATTATCATCCGAAACAATGATTCTAAATCTAAATAGTTCATACAGCAAGCACTTTTTTTCCAAAATTCTGCTCACTTTTCCCTTTAATTTATCATTCTTAATATCAAAAAAGTTTCTCGTTTTGTGAAAAATATCGCCATACATTCGACCAAGAAACTTAATGAATCAATAATTCATGGCATAAAAGAAAAGTACAAGTTCATATCGCATCGAATAAGATAACATACTGGGCCAGTATGAAAACATAGAAGGAAGCTGCTAATTCTGATAAAACCTGATTTTGAATTGTAAATTCTTGAATTTTTTTAGGACTGCAGTCTATTCTTATTTAAAGTGACTTTACAAAAAATCCATGCTGAAAAAAAAAACTAATTTTTTCAAATTTTAATCTTAAAAAATTAATTTTTGAAGGAGATGGAAGCGCTAAATTTTTAATAAACTAAAATCGTTTTTAGAATGTATCTTCGACAGTTAAGAATAGATTTTTATGCTCAATATTTTCTTGAAACCAGGCATGTTGCAAGCCTTAAGTGGCTTTTCATCAATTTCGATAGTTTTGGCGTTTGAAATGGATTTTATTGATGGTGAAAATTTGTCACAATATAAAAGATTAAGTTGATAGAAAGAAATGTTTGATAGATAGAAGCCAAAAGAACTGAAATGCCACCGATTTCTGGCAAAGAGACATATAATGCTTGCCACTTTCTATTTTCTTGACTTTCGAAAAATGAACTCAAGAAATATTGAGAAATTCCATTTCGAAAACATGCTATTTGAAAATCTTTTTTTGTCGATTGCCTATTATATTTAACAACTCAGATCAGTTAGCTGCGCACAACTGTAAGCAAATAAATCAAATTATGCTAGAAAATTAGATAGATAACTCTAGCGAACCTGCATTAAGTAAGAATTCTTTGAAGAATTCTAAAATCATCATTATTTATTATTATTAATGAAGTAAACCATAAAGAATAAATCCTCACTTTATCAAAAAATCTGAATAATATGTAGTAGAATATTAGTTTCAAACCTAATCAATGATAAAAAAAATATTAAAAAATTTTATCTAAAAAATAAAATAAATAGTGAAAAATTGATAATTGTAATAATTATTGCATTTATTACCTTAAATTAGCGAACATTAGAACTGTAGTTCTCTACTGAATTTTAAAATAAAAATCAATCAAAACTATAAAAGTTATAAGAGAAAAAACCATAGATGGCGAAAAATAATTATTATATAGAAAAAATACCTTGCGAAGAAAGATCGAATTTTCTCCTTTGTAACTATTAATTGAATAACAAAGACAGACAAATAATAAGTAAATCATTCATAAGAATAGAAAATAAAGGTTAATTGGCTAGCTCATCATTTCTGATTAGGCTCATTCCACGGATTATTAGTACGGCGAAAAATTTTTACCATTCACTTGGTGATAGTATAAATGGATCGCCAGCATCATTCGGATTTTTTGACAGAATAAATGACAGATTTATTCTTGCCGGAGGCAAGATCCTAACTCTTGATACAGGTAATAATCTAGATAATCTGAGCACCTAATCTATGTAAATGGTTGTATATAAAATAAAAATGGAAATGGTGGGCTAGAAGAGCTAATAAGAAGAAAACTTATAATTTGGCAATGTTCCACTTCTCATGCCAATCTCTATTGCTAAATCTCTATTACTCTGATAACATTTGTGGAATTAACCGTCCTATTTCGTTAGAATTCAAAGACCAGAATTTTGCTTTTATATTAATGAGCAAAAAAATTATTGGAACACAAGTTGAATGAACAAAGATAAAAGTGCAATATTGGATAATGCACAACATAAAGCAAACAAAATTTTGCCTTTTATTCTATCTGAATAATAGCATAAAAACGACAAAACTGCACTATTTAAGGTGGTTTTATGAAAAAAATAGCGATTACAATTTGATCGATGATGCATTAAATTAAATAAGTTGTGAAAATGAATAGTGTCATAATGATATAATTGTGGTAATAATTTACAGTGAAAGATATATTTCGCCTGATTTTGTAGAACAATAAGAGCAATAACAATGATTACAATAATTTTTTCCTCACTTATTTTAAAGCTCTCACCATTTCTGGTTAACTCGCGCTGCTAACTTGTTCGACCAGACAGGAAGTCATTTAGCGATAGAAGTACAGGTGACAAGTATAGGGCCAGCACTAGTGCTCCGAAATGAGAGCGACAACTTATCGAAGAATCGTTATAATTATGCGAATAAATATGCGAAAAGGCGAAGGCAAAATGGAGGATTATATATAGCTGTATGTAGAATGAAAATAGTTTAGAATAGCATGAAAAACATCCACGATTAATGATGAACAACTTTCAACTAATCAAATACCTGTCAAGGTTGTCCCAAAAAACTAAAAAATTTAAAAAAATAACAGTCCGGTTCTGGCATTACTTTCTTTGTTCTTTTAGCATTTCGTTTTCGGTTTGATTGGGTCCATTGGTTATCAGAATGAGACCCGTTCATTATAGAATTAATTGCA